CACCAACTATAAGCACACAACGTCTGAACTTTCTTTTTATAGTTGTCATTATTCCTTTCTATGCGTCTTTGGGGATTTTCCAAATGTCCGGCTGGACAGGTATCGATTCATTTCTACTATACAAATTTTTAGTTGACTCGATAAATGTGGCTTTCTGTATCGATCTCTGCCTCCACCGTATGAAATTATATTTCAGACCTATTATATGGGAAGTGCTACTACGACTAAATAGGAAGGAATAAGGATAACTAGTATAAGAATGTTTTGAAGTTGTTGAGTTGCACCTTGATGATATCACTATGAACAGTAATAAATTGTGTTCAAAACCTCATCCATTGTGTGACATATATAAAAATCAAGTTAATATGGAGTTACATGCTACCACAGGGCCCACGTTTTACATACTTATTGTTTTCATGGTTGTTTCCGTTTCACCGAATCAATAAATTACCGAAAAAACACGTAGTTCAGAGGAGAGGCTGTTTCAGTTGAATTATTTTTTTAGCCATACAATCGCATTAATGCACAACTTCTTTCAGGAAACAGGGTAATAAAAATTGACCATTTGTTGCACATATGGCTTTGAATATTAGTAAACACATAAGAGCAGTTGGAAAAGTATATTAGACTTAGGTAATAAGACGAGTTATTTAATGAATGAGATGTTATCGTAGTGCATATAGGAAGCAAGGAAAATATGGGATTGTCTAAGAATTCTAGAGAAATAAGAAATTTTTTTGGGTTAGAAAAAAATCTTACCCTCTTTCATGAAAAAATTATATGCAGCTAAAGAGAGTGAATTTGCCAAGAAAGACATTTTTCTTGAACAATGTGTTTTGTTTTCATTATTTGAAGTCAAACAAACTGATGATGCCTGTGTCACAACCGGACACCAAAGGTTTAAAGCATAAATCTATTAAATTATTCCGAATGCAAATATGAAAGTCATTCCACTTCACGTTCATTATGTGTACCAAAAATACTTCCAGTTGTTTCACAATTAACCCACTCTGCACCAGTTAACTCGCTGAGCGAATTCTATAATACCCTGAATGATCCTGAAATCCCTGTCTGCAGCCTTAGAGCTGCAGTTCCTTTCACGAAAATCATTTTTCACGTACTCGAAAATGACAATAAAATTCAGTTTTAATTCATGAATAATCCCCATCCAGCCATGAATGAAAACAAAACACGTAGTTCAGAGAAGAGTCTCTTTTCGGCAAATTCATTTTCTTAGAGGTACAGTCGCAAATACACATGAGTTATTTTGCATGCATGTGTAAATTAAGTTTGTCAAACGAAATTGCAGTCGGTTATGGTTATTTTAACTAATGGAAGGGATGAGAATTAGTAAGTTTCTGGTGGAGTTACTTAACACAAAAAACGGTCAAGAAAGTTTGATGTTTTTACAAAACTAGAGTAGTTACAGAGGTGACGAGTTTTCACGAATAGTTGTTAAAAAGTAACTACACAATAATATGAATAGCTTGATGATTGATTTGTACATAAAAAGAAAGTAGGGAATGTGAAATTACATAAGAGTTCTAAATGAATACTAGGATAATAAGCAATTAAAAAACAGGCAAACAAACAAATCTGAGTCCTCAAAAATCAACAAGGTTGCTACCATGATAACAGAAGTGGTTGAGTAATTCTTTTTTGTGTGCACGGGTCCGTGTTTTATATGTGAATGCCCAGAGCTTCAGCGAAACAAAGAAGACGAAACTGTATTGCCTTTGTTGGTTTATTCTCGATTCTATAGATTACTTTGAAGGAGGAGTCGTTTGTTGGGACGGAATGACCAGTGTTAACCAAGTGTTGAATTATCGCACTCCTTATAGCATCAATATTACCTTTTCGTGACTATGCTGGATAGTGTTCTAGAATCCGATGCAGGTGAACTGAAATATGCACACAGAAGTGGTCAGATGTGGGATCTTCTCCTCAAGGTTTCTTCAGATCAATGGGCGACTGGAGAACACTATTCTTACCGTTGCTGCAAAGAATGGTCTTCTCAGAGATTATGTCGTCCCTCTCTTGAGAATATCGCTTGCTAAATATCCCTTGAAATCCAAGTTTAAATGAAGTTTGTCTCTCGGCGCAAGTGGTTTCATTCCTCGAAATTCTTGGTTTGACACTTTTGCTATTGCATCTTGATTGGTATCCATATTGGGTGAAGATTTCTCTCAAAAGATCTAATTCTGTTTATATAACATCGGGACTACAGATGCGTTGGATGCGGGTTGCAAGCATTTTAATTCAATTCCGCTTTTGTTGAATAGGTACCCAGCTATAGAAGCATTTTGGTTGACCACTTGAAGTAGCTTTTCTACTGCTCGATCTTCTTAAGCTCCCATCAGTTCTCTATGTTACTGTCACATCAGGGAAGGGAATTTTCGATTCTTTTTCCACTTCAAGAGTGAATTCTATTGCTGGATGGTAACCGTTAAATGTCTGCAGCAGTAGACTGAGATCAATACTGTTGTCACAAATAATGAATATGTCATCTACCAATCTTTTATAAATTCGTAAATTGTCTATGCTAGGCTTTAGTGGATCTTTCTCAAGGCTTACCGCGAAGCATTCTGATAGTATTGGACCCAACGGAGATCTCATTGTAATATCATCTTTTTGTCTATAGATGGTGTCGTTGAAAGTGAACTGGATGTTCAGAGTGCATCTCAGTAGTAATTCCTTCAAATATGTTGTTGGTATTCCGATATTGAGATGGTTTTTCTCTATACACAGGCATATAAAGCAGAGTGTTTCCGTGAGTGGGACATTAGTGAAAATTGACTCAATGTCGAATGACAGCATAATTTTGTTAGATACATTCAGGTCTTGTATGCAGTCGATAGAGTGGAAAATGTTGCGGAACGAATGCGTACATAATTGTTTCCTTACAGGTTCCGGAATATCTGCCAGTCATTTTGCAATAGAGTAGTAAGGGGAACGTGACATATCCAGAATTGGACGAAGTTGGAGACCTTTTATAGGGTTCACATGAAAATTTGAGTTATTGGGAAATCCATTCTTTAGAATTTTTCATTTTGACTTTCAAATCATCGCCAAATTTTTTATTTTGGATTACAAGCATTTTTGAAAATAGATATTATGTTTGAATGTCGAAAGAGTTCATCATAATTTTTTGGTGTTGTGACAAATGACTTGCGCTCTAGGTAGTCTCAACAAGGTTTCAGTTAACTAACTTGTTGGAAATATTATTAGAACACATAAAAAGACAAAAATATTTGCAATAGAACACTCTTAGTTCAGCAATTAGTCTTTTAGAAATAAAATAGTTAAAGGTGCTTCTGAGTGAAACACCAAGTGCTTATAGAAACCAATATTGTCTAAAGTAATCTTGGAAACTGCAGCTCAGTCATTCCACATACTTTGTCATCTATGTTGGTAGGTTTTGCGCTACGACTAGCCTGAATTTTGTATATTTCTTAGGTTCACAAAGCTGACTTGGTTATCATGATATAAGAATGACTGTACAACGATGCATATTTATTAAAACGAAAGTGTATTTACTACTGAAATCCCTAAGTCCATGTTTTGTGAAATTTTACTGTCAGATGTTGGAATTAAAAAGCGATGTTTTATCATGACATACTTGTTTATCTCATTCATGACTGACATCTAAAACAAATATGTTTTGGTAAACAATACATTGACTCTTACGTCGATTTGAAAAGTAATAGAGAAGAGCTTCAGTCACATGAAAAATGTCATTTTTATAAACAGTAATGTCAACAACTACCAATACTGATGAAATAAAACAGATCATGTGTTGTTTTTAAGTGTGGAGTATATATAAGGGATGCTGTAAATGTCGAAGACTGAAGTACAAATCTGCAAAATGCAAGCTATCCAAGTGATACTGTTCTTCAACATCTTCTTAATACCTACAATTTTCGGTAAGTGATCATTGCTCTTAATTGGTGTGTAGGTCGGTTTAAGAGTATAACTTCTTTATTTCTTCTTGAATAGTGTTATTTTTGGTAGAATGCCCTATACTACTAAATGAATACATTAGAAACTAACAGAAACTGCCCATTCCGATTCCAGGTGATGGCAAAATGCGTAAGTCTGAAATCTGCTCATCTACTCAGCCTAGGTTTTTATTAGAATTATTTTGTGGAACATTTCAGTTTAGGGAAAAGATGTATATTCAGTGATAATATACGATTCAAATATACTGTGCTTGAATATGAATTCGATTTCATGAAGCTGAAACTTGGTTGTTTTCATGGTCTTGAATTTTTCTGAGTTTGAACAACGGTCACACGAAATATAGATTGCCATGTCTAAATACAGAAATTTTGATTTGTTCAGGATACTTTTGTCAAATAAAAATAGCAGTATTTCCTCAAACGAAGATAATTTCAGTTGTGTTGTTGACCTTGTACAATTGTTGATCTCTTCCTTCAAAACCGTCAAAATTATTTCCATTTTACAGAAACAAGAAATAAAAAAAGAATAAAATAACAAGAAATTTGCTAAAATGACTTTTTTTATGAAAAGTAATTATGGAAGAATCAAAGCGTTAAACTTGAGATATAAAATCCCTAACTAAGCAGCCTTAATGTTTCAATTCACAGTATACACGTATTTCATGCTTCTCCATTATTTTGGAAAATGTGCACAGAATTATCACATCCAGTATCTCATAAAATCTCACTGAAAGGATTCTCCTGATCTTGAAATGCCTTTAAAATATGATACTAATGATACGGGGTTATCCCTATTGTGTACCCGTTCGCTTAGATAGTATGAATCCAAATATTTTAGTATTCATAAGTATTGTCGAGTTATGTTACAGTAATGAATGAAATTTCCTAACTCATACCGCATTCTAGAATACTTACGAGGAAAACTTTGGTCTGTTATTCAACTCATATTCACCAAGAATGTTTAATAGATTATCGACATACAACGGAAGATCTTGCTCCCAAATATTCCTAAGGTATTCACTGAATTCTTTTGTTTGTCAGCAGAAAAAAATAAATACGTTGAGAGTAAGTTCAATATATTTTACAGGACTTTTCACTATAATTGGTATTCATACATTTAAGGTAGTGAATAAGAGTAAAATTTACACGTTAATGGTATAATGACTCAATGGGCAAAAACATGATTTTTTTCTTCCTGAATATTTCATACAGTTGAATCCGAAGGTAAGTGAAAATGAACATGCAAATAAAACAAAATAGATATGTCCGTAAGAAAAGCTACCGTGTTGGGTGAATATTCCTAACATAAGAAAAAAATTTTGGCAGTTCGGTAGAGCATTATTATATTATGCGTAAAATTTATTTTGATAAAGTCACACTGTGTTATACAGTGGTATTTACTGATATTCTGATTATACTTTCAAAACTTCAAACACATCATTTCATAATGGAATAATGTATTCGTCAGAAACAACATACTAGTCTGATGATCAGAACCCATCGACTATCTGATATTCTCAATAACTGAACATATTTAAATCTTGCACAACTTCCTTCATCTAAATTTTCATGAGAGGAGGCTTAAATGAACAAATTGTCATGCTACAACTATGCAGGTCACCGAGTGGTTCATGGATGTGTCCGTTGTGCGCTATTTATCATATTTAACACAACTATGACACTCGATATGTTCATATATTGGGACATTGACAGGAAATTGTAGTGCTACTATTTGAAGAGTCTCAAAAATAAAGAACACCACAAATTTGTATCTCTGTTCGCTTAGACGTAGTGAATCGTGTTTGGTTACTTAAAAATTGTTTGTGTGATGGTATTATAAGACACGAATTCAATGTTGAATAAGCGGTACTAAAACTATTAAGGGCGTGAATAAGGGTATAATATACATGTTGATGGTATAATGACTCAATGAGTAAAAATATGTTTTTTTCTGCCTGAATATTTCAAGAAGGTGAAATCCGCGGTAAGTGAACATGAACATGCAAATAAAACAAATTATTAAGTCCGTAAGGAAAGCTGCCGCGTTGAGTGAATATTCTTTACAAAAAGATGCCACTTTGGCAGTACAACACAGCATAAATATATTATGCATTAAATTAATTTTGTTAAAGTCACACTGTGTTATACAGTGGTATTTACTGATATTCTGATTATACATTTGGAAATTCAAACACATCACTTCATAATAGAATAATGTATTCGTCAGAAACAACATACTAGTCTGATGATCAGACTCAAACGAATATCTGATATTCTCAATAACTGAACATATTTAAATCTTGCACAACTTCTTTCATTTAAATTTTCATGAGATGAGGCTTAATTGAACAAATTGTCATGCTACAACTATGCAGGTCACCGATTGGTTCATGGATTTGTCCGTTGTGCGCTATTTGTTATATTGAGCACAACTTTGACACTCGATATGTTCATATATTGGTACATTGACAGGAAATTGTAGTGCTACTATTTGAAGAGTCTCAAAAATAAAGAACACCACAAATTTGTATCTCTGTTCGCTTAGACCTAGTGAATCGTGTTTGGTTACTTAAAAATTGTGTCGTGGTGTTTTAAGACACGAATGCCTTGTTGAACTCAACTGGGAAGTTCGAAGAATGCTGAGAAGATCGGTTCAGCTTTCATATTCCAGGCTCCATGTGGAACCTTCCACAATTCGTTATTATATCTGTTGACATATTGAAGGAATGGAAATTCAACATAACGTTATAGTCTTACATTACAGTCTCTATTGTATTTGACTTTCATAACTGAAGGATCGTAAAATATCAACAAAATAAGTATGCTGTTTGCGAAATAAAATAATCAGTGAAATTTTTACTGCTTTTCTGAACATACCACACAGATTACGTTAACCGTAAGTGACATGGTGAATACATATTCAAAGAAATTGATTTACCAGAAATTATTGTAGAAGAAAAATCTGTCAGCTGCAGTGAATAATATATTTTTGAAAGATGTTATCACTGGGCTAGTCGGGCTCTCCATTGACCTCCTTTAGGACTGTAATGGGTATTTTTGATTTGACACTAGTAGCTAATGTGATGTGTCTAGTCCTCTTATTTGTTGCAGACGGCAGTCACACGGGAGATCAATCTTGAACCTGATTAGCTCAGCGGTAACGTCTCTGACTTTAGCACTGGGTAACGCAGGTTCGAATCTCAGAAGGGACATGAGTTCTTTCAAAGTTGGAAATATGTCTTGCTGATGAGTGCCAACTAGCACGAAACCTAGGTCCAAGGCTTCCGGCCGATTACCTCCAACCATCTTATATCATCAGAACAATGTGTACCCTGATGGCGAGCTACCTGGAATGGTGGCCACATTACAAACCTGACTGATAGAATTCAGTCTGCACCAAAATGAGGACTAGACACATAACATTAGTTACCAGTGTCAAATTAAAAATATAAAATCCCTTACTAAGTAACTTTAATGTTTCAATTCAGAGTAAACACGGATTTGATTCTCCTACATTATTTTGGAAAATGTACATAGAATTATCACATCCCATATCTCATAAAATCTGTCTAGAAAGATTATGTTGATCTTAAAACGCCTTTAAAATATGATAATAATGATAAAGGGTTATCCTCTATGTGCGCTCATTTGTTGACACACTATGAATCCAAATATTTTGGTATTCATTAGTGTTGTCGAGTTATGTTACAATAATGAAGGAAATTTCCTACTTCATGCCACCTTGCAGAATACTTACGAGGATGCCTCTACTCTGTTATCCTGCTCACATTAACCAAGAAATTTCGATAGATTAAACGCATAAAACTAAAGGTCTCACATGGAAATATTTCCAGTGTATTAACTTAATTCTTTTGTCTGTAAGCACGAAAAAGGCAAACATATAGAGGGAAAGTTCCATATATTTTACAAGACTTTTTATTGTCAGTGGTACTAAAACTATTAAGGGCGTGAATAAGAGTATAATATACATGTTGATGGTATAATGACTCAATGAGTAAAAACATGATTTTTTTCTCCCTGAATATTTCGAACAGCTAAACTCCCGAGTAAGTGAACATTAAAATGCAAATAAAATGAAATCAATATATATCAGTAAGAAGTGCCATGGCATAAGCCGTCACGTTGAGTGAATATTCTTAAAAAAAGGATAAATGTTAGGCATTGTGTTAGAGTATCATTCAAGTATCCATAAAATTTATTTCGTTAATGTCACACCGTGTTATACAGTGATATTTACTGATATCCTGATTATACTTTCAAAACTTCAAACACATCATTTCATAATGGAATAATGTATTCGTCAGAAACAACATACTAGTCTGATGATCAGAACCCATCGACTATCTGATATTCTCAATAACTGAACATATTTAAATCTTGCACAACTTCCTTCATCTAAATTTTCATGAGAGGAGGCTTAAATGAACAAATTGTCATGCTACAACTATGCAGGTCACCGAGTGGTTCATGGATGTGTCCGTTGTGCGCTATTTATCATATTTAACACAACTATGACACTCGATATGTTCATATATTGGGACATTGACAGGAAATTGTAGTGCTACTATTTGAAGAGTCTCAAAAATAAAGAACACCACAAATCTGTATCTCTGTCTGCTTAGACCTAGTGAATCGTGTTTGGTTACTTAAAAATTGTTTGTGTGATGGTATTTTAAGACACGAATGCCTTGTTGAATTCAACTGGGGAAGTTCGAAGAATGCTGAGGAGATAAATTCAGCTTTCATATTCCAGGCTCCATGTGGAACCTTCCACAATTGGTTAGCAAATCGGTTGACATATTGGAGGAATGGAAATTCAACATTACATTACACTCTCTACCCATATTTGACTTTCATAATTTCAGGATCATAAAATATCTACAAAATAATTATACTTTTGCGAAATAAAGTAATCCGTGAAATTTTTACAACTTTTATGAACATTTCACACAGAAATGACCGACGGTAAGTGACATGGTGAATATACATTCAAAGAAATAAATTTACCAGTTAGTATTGTAGAAACAAAATCTGTAGCGTACAGTGAATAACATACTGCCAAAATTTATTTTGCAGGGATCAGGTTTGAGTCAGGTTTGACCACGAACTGATACTACACTGAGAACCATTGATAACTAGGAATTATTGAACAGCCTTTTGTCTGGGACCTAGCAGGAGTAAGTAAACACCAGGACGTTCTCGTTGGAAAGCAAGCCCCTCGACCCACAAATTCTTCCTGATTGTAGTGCAGCCACTAGAGATTTGTACCCGCAAGTAGTTGTCTTCAATGCCAACTAGTTTCATTCCACTGATCACCACTTCTTTCTAGCGCTCCAGACAACTTTGTTCTTTAGGCATTCACCTTTGCAATTGTTTATTCGGAATCCTAACACTTAACGTTTCATGATAAAATGTGCAATTGTTGAAAACAACCCACTAGCCTAATATGGTCAAAAAGTTGAGGATATTTCAACTCCGAAAATTGTCGTGTAAATCAATTTTAATGGAGATTTTAGAAACTTCTTGTTGGATAGTTTGCTGTCCAAGTCTCTAACAATTAAGACATATTCTCTCTTGTAAATACTTTCAAACAATACCGTCATTGCTACTTAATTAACTGGCTTTCATGGGTCATATTTTTTGAAATCTAAGTCGTTCACAGAAATAATAATAGTTCAAAATTACCGACGTGGAACGACTTGAGGCATTGATGTATTTTGCTCGCACCATAATTCAGATGTTGCCTACTTCAAAGTATACTTTATACTAACTACTTCGGTATTCTTTTTTCTGACTGATAACTCACTTTGCTGCAGGTCATAAATCTCTTTCTAAGCATAGGAAATTCATGAATATTACTTCTTATTTGTCATGTATATCGTTCCAATTCGGGCATATCTGCTGTAGAGTCATTTTACACTTTATCGCGTTGATAAAATGAGATAATGAAAAACATGTGTATTTAACTTTGAAATTTACACGATGGTGGACATACGTTAATTTTATAAAGTTGTAATATGCAAATCTGTCCTATTTTGAATATATGCTTAAATATATAAACATTTTATTTGAAAATATCAAACAGAATTGGTTGCTGGTAAGTCACGTTTAGAGATAAATCAAAATTGTCATGGCAAACGATTTAACTTAGAGTGAATAACATATATATTGACTCGAAATTCTTAACGGTTGACACTTCATGCATTCGATGGCATCTGATATTCTCAATAAATGAGTATACTTTAACTAATAGTAAATACTAGTGTAAATCACACTTCACACCGGCTGTCTTTCAAATATTCCCGTTGCATGGTTTGTCTGAAACATTTCCAAGAATTTGAGCATTTCGAAGTGTTAATTTTGAAGGATTCGATTTGTTTCACCTTTGATCACGGGTTGATGTCATTTGCAGCACCATTGAAACAGGCATTTCGTCCAACCTCGGTACCTTTCACCAGCAAACACTTACAACACTTACAAGGCATACATGGCAGATTATGTTTAACTATACGAAAAAACTACTACACATCAAATGAAGAAATTGCCACAAAGTGAGTTAAACTTCATGGTTATGTATACGCATACTACTCACTTTTAGTGAGTAGTATGAAAATGTACACACAAGAGAGCATAAGAAAAGACATGTAAGGACGGAAATAATATATGCAATATCAGTTTTTCCAGTCTACACATTTGAACCTCGCTGTTTTACGCTTGATGAACTATTTTTACACGAGGCTAAATTTTCGATAATCTCCAGCAGATACGTAGTTCACTAAGTGGAACACGAATGTGGCTGTATCTGATTACTTGCATTTTTACAGAATTTTCAAAATTCTGTTTGTTAAAACCTGTGGACATACCTAGGGAAGTCTTCATCTATACTTTAGAAAGGTTCAAAAGTAAACAGCTACATTGCGGTCTATGTATCTGTGTGCTTGTGTACTTAAATTTAGTAGATCCAAGTGTTTAGGGATCTGTAATGGTACAGTAAGAGGGAAATTGTAATGCTGAATAAACCAGTCAAGGCTCTGTGAATACTGTGCAGAACAATTCCACTCATATTTAATTCCAGTTCATCTGAACCTCTTATCATATTGCTGGTATACATGTTAGGAAATATAGAGAATCACCAGTAAATTGTTTTTACACTGGTGTCTTCAATGTATTTGGCTGTCATATAGTTTCCAGTATCCTTATGAGCATGCTGTACATAATGTAGACGAAATGGAATAATGGATGACATATTTTTTACTTCTCTGGACATGTTACAGTCATAGCTAATGGTGAGTCAACTTTAAATAACACATTAAAGCGAAATATATTTTGAACAAAAATTGGAATTATTTTACAGTAGTGTTTCCTCTTTATTCCTCTCTCACACCTCATCAAATATATATTTACCGTGGTTCAGACTCCAAAAGACTTGAAGTAGAATGATTCCTTCATTTCTCCTGATGAACTTGTCAGAAAATTTTCATGAAAATATCAGTGTTGTATATATTCATATGCTTCTGCTACTTCTAATCTCTTGCCAGTCGTGGCTGAGTCTTGAATTCTCATTAGAATAAAACAAATCAACCGAAATACATGTGAAGGTGAAAGCAGTCTGGTCAGGATCTATCTGGCTAGTTCCACACTCTCAAAAGATATTTTAATACATTGAAGACTCCAATTATTTCTTAAAATGATTGGTGCATTACGCGAATTCTTTAGGGTAACGTCTTTATCAGGTTTTTCAAATAACTCGGAATCACTGACATGAAAATTGCAGGAGGTATATGTCAATGAAACCTATTCAAACATTTATATTAGAGATTAATATTAAATTACGCAGATTGTTTCCATTGTACAACAAAAATAATTCACATGGATCCAAATATTTCGACGATTTTTATTTTCTGTAGATGACAATCGACGTTTAAAATATTACTGAAAAAATTATTGTAAAGACAGAGTGTCTCGTTTTATATACACTTTTGGTATTTTGATTTAAAAACATATCTGAAGAAATTCGAAGTAGTTTGACTGATGAAATGTAATTTCACACTTCATTGACGTTGAGACTTATGCAACCATGGCTTTCACAGATGTGTATACATTAATATAATAATTCACTGACTCTTCCACCACATGTGTATGACTGAATTTGAAGAGTACTATGAAGAGTGAGAGTATATTAGACAGTAGAATGCAGTTAGTGTTTTCAATTGAATAGGAAATCATGTTTATTTCAGTTTGACTGATTGCAACTGAATAAATCCAAATGCTAAAGTTTTGATAAGTTGTTATACATGAAACTACAGCAACAAATGAAATTTCACGCTACATATTACTGTCAAACACGTCACCGTATGGAAGACGATAATTTCCCTCTGTGTGTTTTCCACCCATGTTCAGCTGGAAAGTTTCACAGATTATCTATCACCGTACACTATGATAATTATGTGGGATGAAAATTTAATCTTTAACACACGAACGTATCCAAGATGTTCACTGACTTCTCTTCTTTTGGTTTAAATTCTTCCTTGAAAGCTTGTACACGTAAAATGTATTTAAACTGTTATCATAATGATGTGATATAGCCAAGTTCTTTTGTTTGTTTTTCCAAACTGTGCAAATAGCCACTAAAAACTGTAAGTCAACTTTAAAGTAAACATGAAGAGAAAGCAAAAAAAACCGATTTGCAGTATGTTACAGTGAGACATATCAACTACATGATACATATGAAATTAGTTTCACCTTCAAATAACCTGCACTGAGAACACACCTCACAGGCGGTTAAATTCACTTGTAATGTAGATTCGGTGCGAGTTATCCAAAAATATGATGGCATGCTTCGCCGAATTCTCTGAAATGACGCAAAGCAAATATACTCACGGATGACTGACTTTCAGAATTTGCCTGCATTTTCTCCTCAATCGCGCTCATTGATAAATACATCATTATGGGCTCTTCACAGCGAAACGCATTGAACATTTCTTTCGACGTCCGTATTTACCTAATACTTAAACAATTCATACTTTCAATGATAAGACGCTATTAACTAGCACAAAAATACACGCAGACGTTCGAAGTTTGGGTGCAGTATTTTATTCCCATCCACTATTAGAATGTCTACTCTAATGTCGTCACCAGAATGCACAGTGTTTATTTACAATGTCATTTTCATGAATGCAACATCAGGTTTCTCGTAAAAAATGGATTCTCACTGCTTCAAGAGACATGAAGTCTTTTCACATACCGCGACCTGTTCATGAATCTTCAACTGATTCGTATCAGTACTTTAATATCCCTTCATCTTAAGTTTAGCCAGAAAGGGCTTCAAGAAACCGCCATGCTAATCCGACTAAATTCACTGCGTAGTAAATATTCATGAAATTTCCATTTTATATGTTAACACATCTGGACATGCCGAAGAAAGTTCTATGCTTCATTGAGAAGTTTAATTATCTGCGTGCTTGTCCGTTTAGATTTAGTGAATCGGTGTTTAGGATATTTATGTTATTGTAAGCGATAAAATGCAATGCTGCATATAGTATTGAAAGACGCTGGATTACTGAGCAGAACAATTTTATTCCATTTTCCGCTTATTGTCATCCTGAAATGTTTCACTTCACAGATTGACAAAATTCCATTTTCCTCAATAATCCTCAATGCATTCGGCATCCATTACATTTAGAATGTCCTTATTCTGCAAAATACTTTTAATGTCAGCATAGTGATGTCATTTATGATAATTTAATTTTTTCTCTGAACGTTTTACACAGCCCACAGTGGAGGTTAGTCACTTTTTAAGTCTAAATGAAAAGAGAACAATATGGAATTAAGCAGGGCCACGGATAAACATATAGTGTGAAGTTGTTGAACAGTCTGGCCAATGTTTACACACGCTGGAATTATCATATTTGCAGCATCAAGTTTCCTTATTATTGATTTGATTCACACATTTGTTTCACACACTTTGAACGCCTAACAGACGCGTCCACTTCTTCACAAACCTTCGACAGAAATTTAACCGGTGATTATTTGGTTTTAGTTAAGTTTGCTAAAGAAGAGACATGAAGGAATTACCATGCTACTTTGATATAATTCACTATATTTTGCACGAATATGGCTGATTTCTATTATTCGGCTAACGTTATATCATTATCACATTTCATATTTGTTAACATCTCGAAGTGTGCCTTCGAAAGTTCAGTGTTACTGTCTAGAAAATCATACAATGAAGCTGAGTGTCCACCATGTTAACAGATCATAAATGATATCTGAAAAATTTAGTTGTCATCCATACTATTTCATTCTATATTTTATGTCTAAAACATGAAGTTCATGAACTTTTGTTTCATTGAATTTAAGCTCTTCCATCTGGTATGTTCACCTTGAATGTTATTGCGTTTTTCACACTTTAGAATCCTCTTGGTTCTCACAATATGTCATTCTGCAATTAAACATTTTACTCTGATACTCCGTTAAACAGAGTTTAAATGTCTTTCAGTGACTGTTGACCACTAAATCAAATGATACACATTTATCTTGTCAATTAACAGATTGACACTGAGAACCGTCAGGAATACACCTGTATTAGTTGATATGTACATATGAAGATAATCTTTTACAACATTTCTGTTAATTTTAGGAAGCGCTTATCATATTGACAACACTGACTGCTTTCGGACTAGATAACTATTGTAGGACTAAACTCAAAATATCATTTCGATACATGGACGTATTTCGTTGACCAATTAAACCGAAACTGTACCTCAATGTACTGAAATGGATGCACCAAAGCCACTGTACATCAGAACTGATGATTATTCAAAAACTGAAAGCAATTTTAGACAAAATATCTTGTCATTATATCCTAAATAATTTCATACAGTTAATTTATTTTGAAAATCAAAAGATTAGCAATTAAACTAACACATCAAACAATTTTTTTCAATATATCAGATGCATACTATAAGACAGGTGAGCTTGGTTTACTGATAAAAGGCACGCTCAGATGTAAATATGCAAGACTTCATTTTCCATTGCAAAGAACACACTTTTGTTTAAACAAACTACAGACTAAACCATGAAACGTGCATACGATAGGAGGGATAATCTGAAAAGCAACAAAGATCACCACATAATAAACAGACGAAGGCGAAAATACATAACGTTTATACAGCCACTGAAATAATTAACGTTTTGTGTTTCTAGTAAAGTGAGAACAGAAATATGTCTGAATTACTTTAGAAAACTGAGCATTTAATATATCTTTGATAGATACGAGTAGATGAAAATTTAGCTTCATCAAACACCCGCATTGGTTAGCCTAACCAAAGCCTAATCTGAAAACTGACAAGCTGTTTTGTTGGTTTTCGCCTCGGTAGACTCATTCTGAAGAGCATGATCAACTCATTTGGCTGGAATAATGGCTAAGTCTTCAGGTCACCTGATAACACAGGTAGTCAGACCAAGGATAAAAATGAATGCGTATCTTGATTTCCAAAAGTAATGACAGGTTTTAAAGTGACAGACACTAGACAGGTTTTAAACAGAATGAAAAAGATGATGGTACATACAGCAGACTTAAATGTAGTAAACAGTTTTGAAAATTAGTAAACCGGTTGAATAGTTTGCTAAAAATGCTGGATTGTACATAATGCAGCAATTCAATAAATAGTAATTGGGTATACAAAATAAGATACTAGATAACAAATGATAATTTATCAATTAAAGTCCACTGCAAGAATCGAAAAAAATTGGGGATAATTATGAATTCACAAAAACAGAAATTCTATGTAGCAAGTTAAGATATATAAATATAAATATATAAATGTTTTCTGGACAGATGCTGAAAAATGATTCACTTTTAAAAATTTTAGTTTTGGAACGAGAATTTCACCGTGAGTTTCAGATATGTTAAGAACTGCCTTCATTGTACATTGGTTAGATGCAAATAGCATCTCAAAGTTTAACAGATTTCTTTAAGTACGCGGAACTTAAGCGTAATGTTCTTAATAGCCATCCGCCTTCAAACCACTACTGCAAAGTTTTTATTGCGATCACAAATTCAGGCCCTCCAACAAAGTTATGTCAACTTAATTTCGGATAGCCAATATTGCAAATGACTACTAACTCAATGAGATGATTTAAATTTCATCCAAAAGAAGAACTATTTGTACTTCAAAAAGTAGCATTATAGATTGAAGACGATGAGGATGTTAAGTTCAGAAAGATTTCCAGTATAAAACAGAAAATAACTAACTGCAAATTGAAACATAATTAGGCCCGTTAATTTTTCACAAAATTTGTGTATGAAAGAAATGTTAACGTTAGCGTACTTTAAGTGGAAGAAATTAACTTACGCTAATGTAATAATGAAGCTTCGGTGTGTTCCTTCATAACTAAGCGACACCAAAGAAATATATTTTTAACCTCACTATTGTGTATTCATTTCTAAACAATCGTAGTTAAATGTGGTATCAATTTACTTTGATTTTAAAATGTCCGAGAGTGAAAAGTTTGTTTTAATTTTCACTACTTGTTTTGTAGGCCTGAGAAAGACAATTAAAGGTAATTGTTGGTTTTAAAATTATTTTAAAAATTATTTTACTTTATTAATTGTCCTTATTCATGTATTGGTCAGATTAAAACTCCACAACTGTTTTAAATCACTGTTAGCTGAATAACAAAATTTTGCATACCTTGGCAACACTTCTTTGTTGAAAGGAGACCCATATCGGTACCAGTGAAATGTACCAAGTCAGAATCTATAGTTTCACTGAAGTCGAATGAACGTGAGATAAGTTTCGCGAAATTTTAATGACAGCCTTACAACAAAATATTGATTCTGCAATACTGCACGTATTAACATACACAGTGGATTATGAATTTTACTCATGATTTTTAACCATTTTCAGCAGACGGATGTCATTTAGAATATTCATAGTTTATACAAATCAGGCAGCCTAGCCATGTCATCCAGCAAACACCTCTGAATAAATCATCTTCAAACCAGCAAGCAAACGCTTCTAGGAACTTTAATTTTATTTCATTGAGTGGTATGATGGCGCCATTAGAACTTCTTTTTCGGCCACCGATACATGAATACATGTATATTTAGGCTTACTATGTTGTGTATACTACTTACAAGACTTGTCAGTAGTACATAGACACAGATTGATTAAAAAGAAGCCAAAACTGAAAACAACATTTTAAATCAAGAACTGCAGGTGTTCAAGGGCTGATTTCTCAAACCGGAATTAAGATTATGATGTTGCAGTGAAATAATCTCATTAGATAACCTTTCGTCTCAAGAACTAACTTTCGGCAAATCGATAATCAAGCAGAATAGTTCGTTGTCCGCTGACCAGATCGACCTGTATTGTGAATAAAAATGTATAAATGTAGTGCATTTTGCATTACAGAGTCTCTTATCTTCTCCCATTACAACTTTATTATTAAAGGTTAATGACATGACTAGAGCAGATAAAAGTGTTTGTTAGTGCTGAAGAAACCTGCATGATAAGCAGATGATTTTAATACGAGTGTTATGCATTCAGTTTAGTTGCCTACTGGAAATGTGCCTAGATGATTGGTTTCAGTGTTTTTCCACTTATAAACTCGGTTTTTATCGCATAGTCTTCTCTATAGTAAATGAATAAATATTTTGTAATGCGAACCACTTCTTACACTTACAGATAACCGTGGAGGTAAGTTCGAATGTGCCAGTTCTTGAGATCTATCACATTTAGAGTAAACTTATACTTTGATAAGGTCAACATGATGAAATCCTGATTGTCTAACGTACAGCAGGTTTGCCAGATACATTTTAAGAACTAAAACACAAATCGCATTTATTTGAATGCATTAGCACATTCAAAACTTCCACTGATTGAGAGCTGCATGTAAAAATGTACATGCATCTTTGTGGTGTTGAACAGGTCAGACGTAGTCATCAGAAGATATTAGAGTAAAATCTATTCTGTCATTTAAAATGACAATCAAGACACCTGCTATTTTCATTCAGCGAGTTATTCGAAAGCTACCGATCACTTCAGTGATTAAAGCAGTTAATGAGATTAAGGAGGTCAATTTTACGAAGAAAGAACACAATGACGATATTATGACAGTTATTATGACTATACACCGACTTAACCATCTCTTATGATGCGTAAACTTGAGAAAAGTAAATGCTTTTCTACAGCTGACTTCGGTTAATATTGGAAACCAGGACACACTGTTTGCCCTGTTTAGGACTGTATACCAGTAAGTAATGGTCCTCCAGCTGAATCTGGAATCCGAAGGCCATCGTTTCAAATATCAAATAGTTATCTGAAAGCAGTTCATGTCTAAAATGCTTGAATACAGTTCAGGATAAGAGTTTACAAATTCATTCTTAAAAAAAGGAAAGAATACCAGCTTGACACTGCCATTGTTATGATTACACAAGCACTTAAACATCTATCACCACGTTGAACTATATTAACAGTAACTTTATCGCTGCTGAAATCTTCTTGTAATCTTTATTAATTGATCATGTCAAATTTCCTCTTGTATTCAGTTGACCGTCGTAAGTTATCATTTTATATAACCAAAGGAAACGTCATTTATTGAAAACAAAACTAACTAATTATTCCTGTCCTGAAAACTCATGTTCATACAAGAATTGCGTTTCCTTTATTTCCATTTCAGTTATCCGAGGTATGTGGCACATATAATAGTGGACGATTATTCTTGTAACTACTGTTAAAACACTGTCATATTCACAACTGTATTTATCATCTCTTTTCTTTATATGGATATAGTTGGTATTACAAATAAAAAATATCTGTGATACAACTTCTTACAACTTGAGTATTTTTCATATCCCACTGACAGAAGTTCAACGTAAGTTGATTCATTCTCTGGCGAATTTCATTTCTCAACCAATTGATATGATCTTGCCACAAAGACCGATTACGTAACTACGGTGTTAATCACTCAATCAAAGAATTTCAAGATTTAATTGTGATACACTTTTCAAAATAATGATAGTTACTTACATACACTAATTTCAAAGGATTTCTAAGTATCCTAGTCACAAAGAAAACAAGATTTATGTAAACGACCGTGATAATCAAATTTAAAACCAGTCAGATTCCCTCAAACAAACACTAGATGACATGAAAACTCAACTCATTCCTTTCACAATTTTCGCTCTTATTTAGAATATCTTGGTAAGTTTACTCCATATATGACAGATTATTTGACTGTTATGTACTAACAACAGTTGAGTAAGAATTCACCAGCCCCTATTCCTTAATGTATATCTATGTCCGAAACATCAATAAATTTTCACGAAGTTAATAAAGATCTTCTTCACGTTAAAAAGGATTGCATAAGCTTTTGAACTAATACCTGTAATTATGACAAAGACATTTCGTTCAATGCATTCATGTTCCATGTAGTGAACGCTAAACACAGCATATGTCACCATTTTACTATACGAATGTATTTGGTAAATTAACCTGACATATATCATACACGAAGTATATTCTCCACTCTCGAAGAAAAACAACTTTCAGAATTCCTCCTCATATAGAATATCCCTGAAAACTCCATGTTAGTTGAAAGATCTGGTTTCATAAAAAAACAGAACCGCATTTGATAACGAATCACTTAGTTTTGGAGCATTCAAAAGATCCCCTTTCGTATCTCATTACTTTCTGGTGACAAATTAGAGTGACGTCTGATTATTTATGAATTGTGATTATATGTAGTTAATGTCAGGGCAAATTGATGGATTCTTAACACTGTGTAAAGCATATCCCTTTTTAAAATGTATTTGACACTATGTAATCATTTTCTAATCAAACAACCTTCTTACTTTTTCACCCAATTTAATGCAGATGACGTATGTAAGTCAATCTCATTCATCAAACCAAAGCTTCATAAGAAGTACCATTATGGATCTAACCACTATCATTTTACTTTTCTTCTTAATAAATTTGTGTAAATACCTTTAAATGAGAATAAGATACAGACTCACAGAATAGAACCTGTGTTGATGAAACTTCGTCACATAAATCAGGAGTAAACTAGAATTCAGACTCATTTATCCTGGTTTACTTGAATTATTTAGCAGTACATTCTATAATCAAAGCCGGAACACATCGGCTACATATCGTAGGGGGCCTGTCAGTAAACTGAGTTGTGTGATTATATTACTCAGCAGTCCTCAAAACAAGCTGGAGTATATCAAAAATGTAAAACAATCTTTGAAAGTATGAGCTTTATTCTGCGAAATAAGTTTGAAAACAGAACGAAAATTTGCGCTTTTTTCATCCAATTCTTGCATAGAATCCTCAAGTAAAACTGCCACCTACAGTTCATCATTAAGCAGAGTATATTTTTCGATCTCGGGCATTTTCCAACTCTCAAAATTTCTATCTCTGTCAAACACACGTAGTTGTTTATTGGATGACATTCAGAAATGCAAATGAATACGTATTATTCTTCACAAACGTTACTGCATGGTTGAAACAAAGTGAAATTGAGTAGATGCTTTGTATTAATGAGTAGCCGAATGGCTTAAGTAGGTCACCTCGTGGTTCTTTGTAAAAGTAGAAGTACTTGGTGGTATGTTTGGAGACAAACCTTCTGTACTGAACAAAAATTAATAGAAAGAGCACTTCAGAGTTTTTCTCAAACCAGTATAGTAGAACAACTTTGATTTAAATATTTGTGAAATGACATAAGTCGAACAACTTCCGAAAAGCAGTAGTCGTCAGACAACCACTTTCAGATTTCAATCTTCCATGACTTCAATGTGCTACATTCTGACATTGTTTTAAAACTCTTCATCCTTTTCATTTAAATAAAAGGCACAGAATGTGAGTTGCAGTTAAGCATTATTCACTAATGATGTTTTTCGCGGATCAAATTCATTTTATCAATAAAAGGCAACATAATAACTACACACACTAATTTCGGTATCTTAGCAACAGACAGAAAAGTGAATGTGTCAAGTTAACTAAACATTAATTTCATTAATTCAGCAACAGTGGAAGGTAAGTTAATTTGAATAATCACTAATACGGGTTGACTGAGTAGAGTAACTGAAAATTGAAGACGTCCATACTTAATTTGTATTCGGTTGCATTACGCACATTAAGGATTCATCTGGACAAATTTAATCGACTGAAAATTGTTCATAAGAAATTGCAGACTCTGTAATAATAAGCGGATCTATCGTCCTGAAAATCATTTATATTAAAGTGGATAATCAAATAATATATATGTTAGTTACAAGAAATGAGGAATTATTCCATAATAATGTGGTGCAGAACACAGTGACTTATCGTAATTTACCATGTGCGTTCTGAATGCATAGTAGTATGACTAGTTTTATCATGGTATTCGCAAAGAGTTTTCCCCTTAAGAACATAAATGACAGTTCAACAAAGATAATTATCCTCATGGACGAAGTCATTTTTACAATCGTTTTCAAATTTATTAAAAGTGTATAGCAGTCTGTTGCTTAGTAATAGGGTTCTGTGACATAATTGTTATAGCTTTGACCTATGTATCGTTTTCCATTACCATCTTCTAATACTCTGAAATAACTAGTGGTAGATTTTTCTGGGTGTTTAAAGTTAAAGAGCATCTAATTTGTCATTAGACTGATGAGTCAGAAATACAATTTACCAACATACATCACCAATCTTATTTGTATACTTTAAAAGAGAGTTAGTTGTACAGACAGCAATTGGTTCCCCTCTCAGTTTTAACCCATTAATATCCCATCATGTGAACGAACGATCAGTTACATTTCAACCAACTTTTTTGAATATATGAAACATTTGGGTGTTTTTGCTGACTTTACCTGAGCGGAGCCAATTCGCTGACTGTGGTTTTCTTGAAGATCATGAACTTTGCACATTAGGCCTCTCCTATAAGAAAACCCCCTATAAAGAAGATATTTTCATGAAACAAACAACTCTCCAATTCCTCTAAAATTTCATCTTCATTCTAGTGTAATTTAATTTCTTTATCCTCCTAATAATCTCCTTTTTTCGCTTTCATACTGAACAGTTGAACGGTTCAAATGTAAGTCAGCATGAGATGTTTCACACCACATTCGTCACCGTCAAGCAGAATGTGGTGGCGATGAATTTTACCAACCAAATCATATTTTCCGGTACTAGATTTTATATGTTCGACTTTGTAGGTGCAAAATATATAACATTATTTCACGCCTAACTATTGAAGGATCCATGCATTCGGTATGAAATATGAATATCATTTTAATTATACAGACAATATTCGAAGTACTCCTATTGTTCCATAGGGCTTCGAGGGTAATACAGGGCTTCAACAGAACTTGAATTTGCCCCGTTATCTGTGGTCCTCTTTAGATGGCCCCACAATCGCCCACAGTTTCTGATCTCCTCCTCACAAGGTCTCATCCATATCATCCTCAGACACCCCACTCCTCGTCTACTGTTCGGGTTCCCCTCAGGCTATAGCCTCGCTCACAGTATCATTCAAGGGTCTCCTCATTGTGTGCCCAATCCATCCTCACTCTCTTCTACATCTTTGTTGAGCAGTAGCTTCTTTGTTGGTTTGTTCCCATATTTTTACATTGCTAATTCTTTCCAACCATTTGATCTTCAATATGGATTGAAGGCAGTGCTTGATTCGGACTCATTTGAACTGAGTAAATCGCAAACTATGAAATACGGCTTTCATTCACATTCATGATTTAACACAAAACAGTATAAAACTCATCGGTTCAAAGTGATCACAACACACGCAAGTGAGACTGAGAGGACAAATAAAAAGATAACATGACAAATAACCTACAGGTCTGTCATAGAAACTGTCTTTTTACCTGCCTACAACGTGAGAATAAAATTTTAATAACATAATCACACATCTAGGTTAAAACCGAATGTTTAGTCCATTAATGTGCAAAAAAACAAATGACTGTTTATATGCCTCTACTGCATTTCAAAGTGTAATGCACTTTATTTCGATTCCTTTTATCGAATCAAAATATAAATACAAGAATACTAACAGCAATAGGTTCCACTGTACACACGTTTACTCTCTATCTAACATGTCTAATTTGGTTATATACTCAATGACAACTTTTAAATAATTTGTCAAATATCATCAAGGTCGTGCAGGTAAGTTTTATTCAAAATCCTGTTTCTCCTTCAAATTATTAGACAGTCTTTATTGTAACGCTCTGTCCTAAAACAGGGCACTTTCTGCTTTTTTCTGTGTTTATCGAGGATAAATAACCAACTAGGCTGTTACACTTTTGATACACAAGTGTTCCAGTTCAAGTATTATATCAGATTCTACTCACATTGGATGAAAATTAGTTTTCTCATGTTCATAGTATCCGTCGTATCTATGCGCTATGATGTCTGAACTTTCCAGATAATTTTGTTTTCAGCGTGAAGTTTAGGTACTTTAAAATTAGGTGCAGAGGAAGAAAATGAATAATTAACAGAATAAAAGATATGGTGGGGATTCTGCCCACATGAAAAGCAAAATAAAATGCGAGAGGAGAATCAAGCATCTGAAACTCTACAGACTCTGTAGTATCTCATCCAGTTTATAGTAACTCTGCTAAGAATTGTTTGTCATCTGACAAACGAAATGTAACAAACCCTCAGTTTGTGCAGATAGTGCAAAACACTCCGAGCTCAACACAAAATCTACGATGAGTAAAAATCTTCGTTTTATGATGAACTGAGGTATAACTGACCATGAAGATTAAATGAATTTCTTACTCAAATATGCTTATCTTTTATGAAGAGTAAAAGCACGTAAAATGTTTTCTATCGCTATTCTCATTAATAAACAATACGTCATTGTGTTCATTTTCGAAAATATACAATAAACAGAATTTCTAGGTGAGTGACTCTGAATGTTTAATTAAAATGGGAAAATAATACGTAAGAAACAGAAAATTATTGAATGCAAGTTAACACTTAGACGCATAACAACAGAATAAATAGACATTCAAATGAAGTAGCCACCTAATGACCACCTAATCACTACAAAGATATAAATTCAACAATGAATCAGTCTTGTAAATAACACTCATTTCTAAATTTATAAAACACACAGAAGTTGTAGCTGTGAATAATATTTCAGCTGTACAATCTGGAATAAAACTGTTTTCATGACCAAATTTATCATCATCCAAGTGCTAACAAAATGTTAACCTCCTTCACTGTTTTATAGAACAGTTTCGTAAGTACTTTCCTCAGCTAACAATATTTCATTTACCTCAGTTGGGCTGACTTTTACAATTATCTATAAGCAAAATTATCCCACATGAAAAGTGTAGCTAATGACCTTGTTTTTGTCCGCAAGAAATCATCTTTACCGCTTTTATGAGTAATTATCCTAATGGACTGAAATTAGATTTTTTTCTCTCCATCTTTGAGTAGATATTTTTTCTCTTGGGTTTGATAAAATACAGACTTCAGTACTAGTTCATTTCATGCATTTTTATTCATGTCAACTGAAATTAAATTGTTAAACTGAGATCCTTTTACACTGATGGCAAATCCTATTCCACAAGATAATTATGAAAAAGTTTGAAGTGGTCCATCCAATCCGAAACTATTTAATAACAAATAAAACAAATTATGCAGCTTGTCAAAAATAAGGAAGAATTGTAAATGTTAAAGCTGTAAGAGGAAATGTTTAAGACGAAGTATGAAGACAAAAGCAGACAAAAATGTAAAGATAACACGGGATTTTAAACGGGAATCAAAACTTCTTGAAAATGAAATAATTATCACGCACAAAGGCATTTGTTTAAGCAGGTAACCCAGTAGGATATCCGAAATGGCAAGTAATCACTACTGAAGCCGGATGGATGTTAGAACAGATAACTTAAGACAGATAAGAGATGGCTGATAAGCCAGCAATAAGTTGATTACGTATACATGAAAACAAGCCTCACACTAAATATATATATATGAAGAGTTGAGGCAGCTTAATGACGTGGTGCGATTAGTGGTGGGTGAATGAGGACTAATGGACTAACTTGGGTTACCATTCACTCGAAAACCTGCTAGTGAAACCCACTGTATGGTGCATTTCTGTGAGCATAAAAATGCAGTAAATGTAGATGCCTTATCTTTGTTTCATTGAGAAGGGGCATTACTAATCATAACCATTCAAATATTTTGTAGTGAAATGTAAGTCTGTGAATTTTGGAATATTCACCCTAGGATAAATATAATTTGTACATTTTAAATTTGCTTGTCATCAAAGTCAAATAGAAATTCAACAGTTTTTATTCCTCTGATTATTTTAACATGAAAATAAAGTGACTCAGGGTGAGTAAGAAAATTTCAAAAGTCATATTTATTTATTATCACATAATAATAGACAGAGTTAACATTTCATCAACACGAAGGTAGAAATTTAGGTACAGGCATCCAGAAAGACAACAGTATTCACTGCAAAATTACTTTGTATACCACATCCACCACAGAAGACACTGAATAGTGATCATTAGCTTTAAGACATAAAATATTTATGATCGTGGAAATAGGACGCGACTACCAAACTATTTAGGACTCTTCATCCGAATGTATCTGCTCCTCCCCGAGTAAGATGACACTTGCGTCCTGCATTCCGCTGCCAGTCACCATCAAATAATTATATGCGAGTTTATTAACCGGTAGGCCATATGCTAAATAAGGCTGATCAATTCATTCCAAAAGTGTCAATGGAAGATCAAAATAAATACTAAGTATAATAAAAATGCATGAGATATTTCGGAGATATTTAATTAGTCACGAAATACAGTATGTCTACAGACATCACACTGTGAAATGAAAATCATTCAAGTTGAGTTAAAAAGTAAGATACATCAACAGTCATTATCTGAACCATAGCACAACGAAACTGTATTACACAATCACCAATAAAAAATGATATTCGGAACTCTTGTATTGCTAATAAGGGTATAGAATGCGTTTTGCTTATAAGTATTGAATCTCTCCATTGGCACCACTCTTTTCGACTGCGTTCTACTGGCCTAATTTCTTCAGTGCTAATCTCTCAGCTTTTGTTTATGCTTTTATAAAACTTTCAATGAACACAATTTGCTTGAACGTTTACAGATAGATGTAAGCGACGTTGCCTTGTTTCGCCTTTTATTTCTTATCAGTGAAATACTAATTCAAATTTGGAAATTATATAAGCTCATTGTTAAGTGATTTGATCACCTTTAGAGTACGTCACAGATCCAGATGAATAAACATTTAAGTCAGATATCTTACTGTAATTGCGCACGGATAGACATACGTGACATTAAATAGAAACTGTAGATAACAACTGACAGAAATAAGGTTGTCGAAGTAATACTAACGTCTTGATTTAAGCATAGTTTGTGGTCACTCTGAAACGCCTAACCAACCGACTTGAGTTACTGCTTCTAGTTGGTGGTTCTCTGATTCTTTTGAACTTCAATGATACTAAAAGGTTCATCAAGTGATAATATACATATAGATTACTAACCCAGTTCTCTGCCAACTTCTATTGAAAATGACCTTGAATGAGTGAGGTGATTGTGTATGTGTAGGCTCAAAATTATCTCCTAGACGTCGAGATAGTTTCGAATGAATGTTCATTTCTCATTTAAGATTGTCAAAATTATGAAGAATTATAGTTTGTAAGAACTAAGTGGATTGTGAATTGAGCTCAGTTGCTGACCAAAAGCACTTAAAATGCAGCTAAAAGCCAAGACCACCTAACGTACATTTCGATCAAGTAGAAATCTCGGATTGTGCTTCGCATAGCTTTGGACTCACTGTATTTCATGAATTTCATTTTGCAACGTCAACACTTTTGTTGGTTAAATGTCCATTACATACTACTGAAATGACGTCAGTTTATCGTGTGAAGATTGCATTTACTCTACGTTCATTTGTTTTCGCCATTTAAAAGGTACCTCAAATACCAAAATATAATATCACATCCTAATAATCACAGTCAAAAGATTTAGCTTTAAACAACCCTAATTCTTCTCACTCTTTGGTGATATTTACTTAAAAGCATTCAGTAAGTTACTTTTTCAATTTAAACTTGAATACGTTCAGATATGTATTCGTCATCACCAGTAGTTCATTCTAGTGTGTTTCTTGGAATCAATCAAAAGAAAATCATCTTCCATTTACAATCACACAGGACATAAATGTTTCAAATTATTCATTTCCACTTATTAACAAACAGACTGACTCATTTCTGAGAGTAAATCTCATCAACAAAATAACACGACTGCATATTACACAACCAGTCTCAGAAAAGTCAGCTGCTGCCACTGGCGAATGCTTCATTATTAATTGAAACTAATGTATATTCTTAGAGAAGCACATACAGTTCTCTTCAAAGTTCATGGTTTTTTGATTCGTTTATCTCTTGAACAGTTGTAAGCGACCTAATTCACCATATAAAAATGATCATTTTATGTAAATATTTCCCTGAGCATCTCTTCCCACTTTTCTGTTGTTTTCATGCAGACCGTCGGGGTAAATTGAATTTTTGATTTTGATTAAAATTTTTTATTCATGTTTATAATTGCAATAGAATAATAAAAAACAAATAAAAAGTAAAGAAATACTTCAACTTAGACAGTTTCAAGCAAAACTAAAAAACAAACAGTTTCCTATCTCAGAGTAAATAGCATCAACCAAATGATTCCACTTTGCATTGTGTAACCAGTCTAAGTCATGCTGACGTATGTCTCATCAGCAATCGAACACAACTTTTATTCTCAAGAAAACGTATATATTTCTCTTCCGATTTTATACATTTTCGACTAATTGGCACCTGGAATAGTTGTATAGGACATGCGATTTTGAAACACAGCGACCCCTCTTTGTAAGGATAGCTTTTAGTGTTCTACATTGAAATGTCTCATTTCTTTCAACTCTCTTGTGGTTTCCTTTTAGGCAATACTAGTAAGCAGAAGTCTTTAATTTTAACTTCTACCATTATCTAACCATATTTGTTTTGTGAACATCAGTTAAGTCTACACTTCATTTTTAAGGCGAATGAAAGAAAGCATTTCTACCCTCATAAAATTATTTAACACAAGTACTTCTATTTTATATTTCCTGTGTTCTTTTTCTTGATTCATATGCGAGTAATTTATCATCAAGCCCAAAAATGAAGTTTAAAACTGGCGACTGTAGACATTCCATTCTTCCCAGGGAAGACGCACAATTTTCTTCCGATTTAATATAATTTTGAATCTCCTGTTTCTGCGGGAGTTGCAAGTGACACGTAATAAGGAAAAAGCAATGATGACATTTGGTAAATATTTGTCAGACCATATGGAATTCACTCTAACTTTATTTTTTCCATTCTTGCATGATACACTTACAGTTATTAAAGGTTAGCTGATTTTAAGTTTACATTCCGCTATTTTGTAATTGTCAACATCAACTTACTATATTTTGACAAAGAGAGGGCAGACATATCTCAGAAACATATTTCAACTTTGAAGTCAGGCCTAGTACTTGACTGTAATTCCCCACTCTCCGGAAGGATGCGTGTGCCACCTTACAAACATAAGACTAAACCAAGTAGAAGCAGAATCAGTATCCATCGGATTCGAATGTCACGTGTCTAAGACATTCTTCAACCGGATTGATGCGGAAAAACATTTTGAGTATTCATACCATTCTGTAAATATGTTCATTCTCTCTTTGTTCAAACAAATCAAGTAAAAGTGGTTGTGTGAAATGCATCAATTAAGAGATAGGCTTACTTTTTCACAGAAATTATACAACAGGAATATTTCAATCTTTACATTTTCACGAACAGAAGAACGAACAATTTTATCACCTAATGTGCGCTTTGTAGCCGGTCTCAGCAAATGCATTGACTGATACTGTCTCATATATTATTAGCAACTGGGCATAACCCATATCCTTAAAGAAATACCTACTATTCTCTTCCAGTTCAGTCACTTTCACACGTGCATATCTGAAACTGTGTACGAAAATACAGTAATCACACCCTGTTAATATTTATTTGAACCTTTTGCATACTGCTATCCTAATGTGTGCAATTATTCGACTGCTATTTTGCAGATAAAGATGGTGAGTTCTTAATCCAAAAATATCTAGTAATTTATTCACAAAGAACGAAATTTTAGCATATCGTTCTTCTCGAAACCTATTACAACGGAGCCGATTTTTGATAAGGAATCGAAGAACGTCACGTAAAACCAGATTTCAACAGTCCTATTCTTTGCACGTTCGTTTAAAAGCCTTCATATCCCAATCTATCCCAATTCCTTGATTCTTTGATGTTTCTCCCTCAGAAAAACTTAGTAAGCTAAAATTTTAAAATGCACATCAGTTTTATTAAGTTTGGATACCAGTTCCGCACATTGTTCGTTTTGAGATTAATTTTGAAAAAGACACCACTATTTTTTCTTCAGAATTACAAAAAATGAATACGCCTATAAATAGCTCCCGGTTCGCAGAATAATAATCGCTGACAAGGTGTCACCACACTGTGTTACATAACCAGTGCCCATCAGTGTGTTGACCAAAATTGATTAGAACCTGTATTAAAAACCAAACACCTAAGCATTTGTAATTGGATTCATACATTTTCTCGGCGCTGTTATTTGAAGTCATTGCAAATGACATATTTTACGTAATAAAAAAGGATGTTATGCAAGCACTTGTCAAAATTTTCAACAATAATCTATTCTAATTCTTTCCATTCATCGAATCTTATCTTCCAGTCAAAAAACGTAAGCTGCTTTTAGATTTCAGTATTAATATGTCTCGATTGTTAACTATCGCCAGTAGTAATCATCGTTTATCATGTAATCAATTATCTAGGTCATCATTTTAAATGTTAACTTCGTTTAGTTACTTATTTTACAAATAGTAGTGTAGAGATTTGATTCCTCTAAATAACTCTCAATATTCCACTCCGCGATCAGCTATAAATGAAACAGAACAGAACTAAAAGCGTCTCTTCTTTTAACCAATAGATGCCGAACGTAAGTTAAAGTCTCATGTTCTTCAAAATTTTGAAAACTATATAATAATTTGAACTAAGTGTTCAATATTCGCATTTTGATGACTTCCACTTTTGTACGTTAAAACGAAGCACTGAAATAGTCAATTGGGCTTTTGATTTCCAAATGAGAAATGAATATTTAACTAACAGAAAATGAAGGGAAGTACGTGCAGTATCCTAACCTTCTGAACAGAGGATATTTGTAATAGGAATGTTATCATAGAAACCCAAATACCTACAAAGTTGTACATCAACCTTAATTCTGAACAAATATTGACAAACAATGTGCTTAGTTTAAATCAAACTTCAGGGGATTTCCCTCATCTTTATATAGTCTTTGGACAGTTGTCATCGTCGATATTTGAAAACCGAGAGAAGGTGAAATGGTTAAATGTCTGTCAGTGAAGAGTTCAAAGTCGAGCCTGAGTTATTTTAATCAACACTACGGCAAGGAAAGAATCAACTGCTCCACGTATCTCAGTCTGACGACTTAAAAGCACATTTATTTTATGGTACAATTTATGCCTGAAATTTAAAATTCAAAAATTACTTCTTTAAAAATAATCTTTTCACAGTGGTTATCGGTAAGTTGATGTCTTCTAAATGAAATAAATAAAGCATCACATCAGCCATAATAATTTCGATTGTTTGGTGTTATCTTCGAAAAGAGAAAGAGACCTTGACATCAGCTGTATGCTTATTGATGCTCTTCAGTAATGTGTTTGACTCCCACATGTCTAGGATAGTAAATCGATTCCCATCCTGGCAGAGTTGAATATCAGTATGAATGTAACTTAAGTCCAACTTCTCGATGTAAACTCCCAGTGAACTGCTGACACCAGCTTCTAAACTTAAACACCACACTTCATGCTGAACAGACAGAATTTCGTCGCACTTAAAAACCAAGTAACATGGAAGAGTTCAGGCTCTAATAACCAAGCAAATTATAGCAACTTGTTATTTATCCGATTCAAACAACATCTTTTTAGGTTTTTTAACACTAACTTTGAATTGCTTATCCTAGAACTAACCTAAACATAAAATCGTAATTATTCGCAAGACTAAAATCACCCTATATGCAAAACCTTTGTGTTTATGCTCGAAACCTGCTTATAACAACCACTTTTTAAGATTTGAAATAGTACCTAAGAACAGACAGACTCTAGTTTTAAATTATGTATATCTAAATACTTTAGTCTGTTGTGGATTTAAGTAACAAGTTGTACGCATGTTATGCCAGCAAGATATTTAGCTTGCTGGAAGCTAAATTAGTAACAGTTTACAGTATTAAGGATTTTTAAATCAAAGGTTATGACCTAAAGCTTGAAGAAATCCTTTCTTTATGAACAAATTATGTGACGGAATTAACTATTTGTTGAAGAATTCACCAGAAGCCAGTGTAATCGAACTTGTTGTAATACTGATAGTGACAAGTGTTTTTATCATACAGTATTGCTTTTCTCGTAACACAAATTGTTATACAAGTCAGGTAAATAATCTGATATTAGACACCATAACCCTTGTTGATTTAGCTGGAATTTAGAAGTCGTGTGCAGTCATATCACTTGGTCACCACTGATATTAGAAGTTATTTGTAATGTTACATGGTCAAATAGGTAAAATACCCATTGACTACTATTTTGATTGATTAGTTGTTGTTTCATGCATCCTAATCGTAATAGAGCGACTTTATTAAAACCAGCATTCTACATCTTGTGAATACTCAACAACCTAGATTTTAATTTAATCTTAGGAATTATTAAAAAGACGGTTACAGCGAAGAAAATTTTCTTTTCGACGAAGTCATCAACTAATCTGTACATCCAGGTATTTGTGATAAATGGGTGGAAGTGTTCCAGAATAATTTCCGGTTAAGAGTCAAATTAATCTCTCGTATTTCATGAGTTAAGCAAGCAAAACAATGTTAACTAATATCAATGAATACAATTTACTTCCACCTACATTGTAGATGGCTTATGTAAGTTCATGGATGTTGACTTTTCATTGAACTTCTAAATTGTTTAATCTATAGGAACTCCTGGCTTACATTCACGCTAATAGAAAACATACAAATGGAGAATATAACACAAAATCTTTTGATGAAATGAATATTTCACAAACTATCAGTTCAGTTACCATCAGCATGACATGAAAACAAGAAATTCTCCTATGAGTTACTGCCTCACTTTCAATCTGTTGTATCCTACTGGCCATTAAAACCCCCGACATCTGCCTGAATATGGCCAGTCGCTAGTGTGTATCAGATTATTTTCAAGTATTGGTTTTGTAAGGATCTTGTTTGATTGGTTGGAGGATTTCATCATGAGTCAGAGGACCACTGGAAAACCACCTAGTAGTAATGGACAGCGAATTCGTCCTATTTTTGGACTCTTCATCAGTATAATCCCTCCATGGTTCGGACCCACGACTTTCTTGTTACAAGGCGAGCTCGTTGACCAATAAGCCACTGGCCATGGATTATATCTCATTCCAATTCATGACAAAGCTTGACCACTTCGAACTATGTTAACTGTGAAGGATTATGACTAATAAACGATGAATGCAATCAAAGTGTATTTTCAGTTATACAGGAAATAAAAACTCCCCTTGTAAACCAAAAGTCATCTTGAGCCATTTGAGGGATATTTGTTACGAACCTTCATCAAAACTTTTTCAAACGACATGTTAGCAAACGTTCAATTGGTTCAAAGGATTCGGTCGCATTGAAAGACTGTTTGAGGTTCAGGAATAGAGGCTAATACTCTAAGCGACAGCAACTTCGTTTATAACAGGAAGGGTAATGAACATCACGACAGAGAAACTGATGACAAACATCTGATGTTTAAAACAAGACAAAAAGTGTACGAAATCCATTTCGTTCTTTGCTGCTAAACACCACATGATATAATCCAATTACTGGTCTATTCTCAGTAGGAATTTTTTCTCGAAGGTAGTACAGAAGTACTTCATTTTCACTGCGAGCGTTGTCCACTCGGAGCTTCCAAATCTGTCAAGATAGGTGAAATATCTTACTCGAATATAGACTTGTGGTAAAGTAAATCGCAGGAATACAGAAGCGACTCAATAAGCTTCGGGTTGCAGATGGCTGTATTACTAGTATTGCAGTTTTAGACGTACAACAGAATTAAAGTTGTATCTTAGTCCGATCATATTTCTAGTACCGCACTAGTAAAGTGAATTAAATATAAGCACATTTACATTAGAGCAAATGCATCTATCAATCACTACGATAAGTATTGAATGTGATACATTTGAAGTGAATTGCCTGAGAAGCTGAGCATTCGTCAAACATAAAATTTCAAGTAGCATTCCCACTAAACTATTTTATTGTTCTCACATTGGCCATTGTTACTGTGCCACGAGAAAATTTGTCTGTGCATTCATATATTCTATGGATAGAATATACATAACATTATTATTCCACAGTGTGATCTACTTACATTTAATTGTTGTAACACAATTTCTAAAGGGTTGTGCGGTAAGTATCCAGGTTAACTTATAATTTAAACAAAATATTTTTTTCTCGTATATTAATGCTATCTACCATGAATGAAGACATCTTTCCAGTTATTTGAAGTGATACTTACCTTTCTGAAAATGCTCATTTATTTTTAACCAGTCGATTCGAAAATGTATTTTATTCCTATTTCATTGTGAAAACTTCCAGTAATATACTCAATGTCATACTGTGTAACAGAACCTTTTCTACACTGGTCCAGTTAACTTTAACGTAAACCATTAATAAAATAACACAAAGAAAATACAATGATCTAAACCACTGTCCGAGTAAGAAAGTCGACAGTGAAGACTTGTGATCTGTTTTAGCGAAAGAATATTGTCTGACATTAACTCATTTACCATTCCAGTAGATTTGTATTAGTATGACAGTCTTATAAATTGCCACGAAATAGTTACCGTGACATAAATAGTCCACTGGAATATAAGGCAGTACAAAATAAAGCATAAATTAGCCCGCTAAAAGTGAAAGGGTATCCACAGGTGGTTGTAATTTTATATATTTTTAAAAGACAGAGATGACATACAACTGCCAGCTATGTTGAGATAAATGTCTTGCCTACACTTTAGACTTAAACAACGAATTCATTTTCTGCGAAATAACGCAGTATTCCTGAATGAAATTGTGGTTGCCGTTGAACTGTTTGTTGTTCAATTCAAATGTGTTCAACTCCAATCTTTAGATTAATTGAAGTAGCTAATATTTCATGTGAACTTGAAGCCATTAACAGCGCATATGGTGAAGACAGAACGTTTTGATTAATGTAAAAATCTGTCAGTCGTATTCCGAGAGAAGTCTCCTGTTTAGACTTCTCATCTTTGTCTGCCTCATTCTTCGATGATTTTATTTTAGAAACATCATTGTGAATCTGTAACTCGATTATGAAAGTGACATACAGACGATTTTAATTAGTTGCTCATTGTGCACAATCTATCTTTTCAGTATATGAGTATACCTTATATTCACTGGGATTAGTCAGGCTGCCATTTCACACAGGGAAGCAATATCTAAATGTTTTATATTGTGGCAATCCTCTGACTTAGTAGCAACTTCATTTTTACACATGAATGGGCGTCTTTATGTTACTAGCTGGGGAGACAATATCTCTCTTTTCTGGCTGAAAGCCTTTCATCTTAGTTTGGTTTATGCTTTGTGCTCTGTTTCTCAATTACATGAGCAACCACATTGTTGCATTTTCAGTAAGAGTTTTATACCGATTATATGGTAATATGTTTAGTGAAAATTAAAAAAAAACTGTATTTATTATCTCCACACCACTTAGATTCTGCAAGTAAGTGATTAACATCGATAACACAAACCTTTGCGTTATTGCTCTTGTTATTGTCATAAAATAAGTTCGTATCTGTTTCTTACCCGTTATCGAGATAAATAACAACAAGCCCACTGTTTCAGACAAATAAAATACAACTTTAGTTTTCAGTTACCGTTGACAGAAACTTTGATAATGTCTTACAAGTCGATTAAAATGTATTCTACAATAGGTGAAGTTAGCGCAGTACACTGATTTGCAAAATGATCAATAGCAGTGGTCTTACAATTTTCCATGCAGAGTATTTTACAATCATTAAACGCTACAGGATAATTATTTCTGTTATCACATTACATATAAGTTGAAAATATTTCAGCTACCAAATCCACACTATGGAATTAGATAGCGTACAAATTCTTCACATGCCGTACAAAGCGTTAGTGTATACATCAACTTGCCTAATGGAATCGTCGGAATTCAATTTTAATTTGGAGACAGTTTGATTTTGATTTTTAGTGTTCACTACTGATTTATTGTCATTGAAAAGTTCTTGCGTTATAGAGTTGATAACATTTTAATGCAATTATAATTATTCTTTTTGCTGATATTCACACAAATGCTGATTATACTAATTAAAAAACCTGTTCACTGTCAGAATGACAATGATGTAAAGGGTAGTAGTGATCTCCTTGACAGTCATGCCATCTAGCTTAGCGAATAAAAAGCAAGGCTAAAATTCAGGGGAAAGCTGGTCTGCTCAGCAGGCATAATCATAAGTTTAAACCACAAGATATCATACATTATAGCATTTGTTCACCAACTATATAAGGTAATGAAAAGATCCCACCAAATTCAATCAAAAAGGCGAGATTTCCTGATAAATGTTTTGTTTACATTTACTCTATGTACAGGAGCTACGCGTAAGTTTTCATCATAATAAACATTATCAAGGATCTGTTAACTTACGATGAAATATAAGTTTACATTTTATTTTTGAGGGAATGGAATAAAAATATTGACTCAAACATTCAACTAATAGGAAGTTAGCATTTCCTAATAAGACCAACGGTTTCTGACTGTCCGAGGCAACAACTAAATCTCAATAAAACGGATTTTTACGATTTGTTTCGAGCGATCTCATTTCTGTTCCAAATGTTTGATTAACAGAAGCCTTCTGTAAGTTAATGATTTGTTTCATTCTCATGATAATTTAGTGAATCATAGCTGAATATACAATCATAAGTACTTAGTGAACTCAGAAATTGGAAACAAGAGTCTGGAAAATTATGAACCGATTGTCGAAAGCAAGGTTTATTTCACAGTATGTGGTTCAGACATCATCTTCTCATCCAATTTTACCTGTGTGACGCTGTTCTGATAATTTATTTTATGGACATAAATGTGATGAAATGTTTTATGTGAAAAAAGTAAATATCCCATCATTCCCACTTGGCTCTTAGCTGCCAGATGCCATTAAATAAATCCAGGGTCCTGGATCATTAGGTCATTTATATTCCCACACTTTGTGGTTAAAAATAAGCAATTTTTTGCAACTTAAATCTTGAAAGTGTGAAACAATATTTTAAACAAATACCACATTTTTGTCATTCACTACAGTGAACTTAGATGGTGAGTAGAAAACGCTTATTAAAATGTAGTAGCCGAGTACCCTCTGAACAAAACATTCTTTGAGGGCTGACAACATAAAATAGTTTCCCAGTAAGAAGCTAGCGGGTGGAAAACCATACCCCGAGTCACTGATGTAAAATCAAATGATTTTTCTAGCAAGCCACAAAATTCGGTAAAAAGCAAATCTTTTAATTTACTGACAAGGGTTGGCGTAGCCTATGGGTCCAAGGTGTCAGACTCAAAAATAATCCCCTTGGTATTCTGGTGCACAACATGAGCATGGGTTCCAATCCGTTCTTCGAAGAATGCTTCACCCCACTGGCTAAATGGTTCGCAAGCTTTCCATACATTCTGAAAGTTCTGGGTTCGAATTGTGGTGAGTGCGTACTACTGAAGATCAATAAAATGAAGGGACAGGTAGTTCAGCAAAGATTTTGACTTTGAAGTTGCTGAGCGGTGTAAGGCTCTGTTTCAACGCATAAGTCAAAAACAAGTGAATTGGAATCTTATGCCTATCAGGTGCCTTTATCATAGTACTAACCCGTACGGTACAGTGCTATCTTAGCGTGAGCAGAGGTATTGACATTCACGCTGTGATACTCCAAATAACCTTTTCTCTACACTTGTGGCGGTTAGACGTATTTTCTTTACTAGCAGTCTCGTTCGCCAAACTGAGGCTGGTGAAGAGGGAAAATTGGGCGTAAAGCTAGCACCTACATCCCGCAAAATACACTATTACAAGTTGAGGAATAAATAAATTATTTACAACAACATTTTTATTTACAATTAGTATAATACACAAGGATGTGTAAAAGCTTTGACGTGATTCTCACGCGAATTTTGAAAACTTTTCCCTTTAACCTTGACTGTCCCAAAACTAATAATGAGGATGGCTAATAAAATGTTTTTAATTAATTGTTTTGAAGTTGATGATGGTGAGTGACTCACAAATGCATATGTCGTTATCAGCATTCTCTTTTTCCTTAAATTCACCATGATAGAAAGAAAAACGTTTTCAAATGACCAACATTGTACAGTTAGACACATGATGATTTCAGCGGAAACAGCCTATTTGCAGCCAAACTAATGTTTGGAAACATGTACAGATAACATGATTTTATCCAGTAGTTAGCATTATCAACAACAAATTCACTCCATCTACCATAAAACTTGATGAATTTTGAAACCTTCACAGTGTTTGACACTAAGGGACAGCTCACTCAGTGAAGTCCAATCATCGAAAATTCCTTTACAAAGCTTATGATTACCGGTAATTATTCTTTGAGAAATGGAATTTTAAATGGTCTTTTATCTCTGAACTGCCAGATGATGCAAAAGATTTTTGTGATATAATCAGAAACAGGACCATAATGGCAAATGATCAGTGAATGCATAAAGTTCCACTCATTCTTATACATGTACACTATGAGCCTTTTACATGGTGAATTAAAAGTCATCCAGAGTGAATAGAATTTTCACTGAAGAACATTAGGTGTTTAATGCTGTTTTATTGTTTTGAATAACTTAAAATATGCTGCTTACTATGATATTACAATCTCGCTTTAATTTCAAGAATTGAAAAGTGATTTTCTTATGGATGCAGGGATGAAGAGAACAATATAAATCCCTCTATTCATTTAAACATGCTGCGATCACCTTGCAGAGTTGACGGTGAAGCATAGAGTTTAGTGAAAAAAAACTGTTTTAAGCTAAAATATTCCATTATAATAAGGTCTTATTACTACTAACATAAGGATATCTATCAGTAGGAAGACTATCTAATTTCCTCAAATGCGAACACTGAGTAAGAAAGTTTATTCAACAATCATACATTGTACCTCTTGTCTGAAAGTGTCATTGAAAATGCTTTCCATTCATCAAATAACTTCGTGGAAGTACAGTACCTTGTAAAATGATCTCCGGAGTAATTTCGTTGCAGTAATCGGAAATGAGGATTCCTCTTAATGAATTGAAAGTGTGTAGATCTGTTATTTGGTTAATGTCATTGTTAGTATAATCATATATAAAACTGCATATGAACGCCTATTTATTTATTAATGTGTGCTTTACTCATAAAATGTATGAGTTAAGGCTGTTTACTACCTGCACAACGCACCAATACACAGTTTAACGATATGCATTAGCAAAATATTTCAAGCTTTTAATATTAATAACATTTTATTCCTATTTGTTTTACTTCACCACACACAGAAACACTTGGTAAGTTTCCAACAGGACTAAAAGTAATGCAGAATTAAAATATTCCTCTAAGATAAAATGACGCCCAGTCTGGTTTCAAAATAAACCTTAGAGAACACAGCATAATTCAGACCAGAAAGTGATCACTTTGAACAAATACTACGGACCAGTGACTACTTAGAGTCCTAATTCCATTCGTATCTTTAAGTTTTTATAATTTAGTCAACACAACATGTAAAGTCAGAGAAACCCCAATGACTGCAGCGCTTGACAAAATTTATTCGTCAGTTATATACTAACTGGCAATTTGAATTTAACTTCTGAATCGTCTTTAATATGTATCAGAGCAAAGAGGCACTTTTGTGCTTAGGTGTTATACACGATTCCGATACTTCGCGACTGAAATATTAAAAGTCCACTTCAGATGTGGCCTACAGCTCTCCAAATTCTGTGAAATTGTTCAAATAATTCACTTATGAATACACAGAAACAAGCAATTGATAAATTCACTGCATCATGATGGTATTAGTAATGAACATCTCAAACAACTTATTTTTATCGAAGTTTAAATTGCATATGTGACATTTTCAAGCTTATTTCATTCATAATTATTAACACAATAGAAAAATTGAGTAAGTTTTTTATTTTTTAAACATGAAAACTTTGTATGATATGGAATCAAAGTGAGAAAACCTCACCAAACTCACAGTATATTTTGTGGATATCTTTCACCGTATTTCTGTGAAACTTGGGTAAAGAAGAGCATTAATCTCATCCTAAAAGGCAGTCTTTGCTCTCTACTATTGTCAAATAATTCAAAATGTGTCTAACTTAAAGTGCTTCTTTATTTTCATCTGTTCATTTTGATGTACATTTCACCAAATGATAGTTACTGCTAGGAAAAGTTTGTAGGTGATACCTTTTGCTGAGATCCTTAAGAATCGTTTGTGCAGATCACTGAAGAAAGCCTTCTTTACGGCCGAATGAACCATGGATCAGTGTCTACAGCTCACAAAGCATCAATGGATGTGTGAAGAATGAACTGCCGCTTTGGGCGACTTTAATGTGTGTTTATGAATTCACCTTCTCGTGTGGAGCTAGTTATATTAGCAACACAAGGCGCACACTTTCGAAACGCATCCCCGAACATTATGCAGCATGGTAAGCGTAATAACAATGCAAAACTGTTACTAAGTCAGTTCCGGAGCACTTGGTGCCCTGAAGTCGCGTAGCTCCACCAAAGTTGTATTTCAAGATTATCTACAATGTGAGGCCAAATGGTACAAAGGCCGTCAGGTTTCAGCATTTGTGTATGGCTGAGGCGTTGGCAGTCCATCACTACAACCTCAAACTCTATATAGAGAAAACGTTTGTTCAGTCTCTTATTCTACCATTGTCTTGGCATCTTGACTGTTCGTTTCCTATAAAAAATGAATTTTTTTTTAAATTTTAATTTCACCTTTCGTTCGGTTTTACTTTAATAATTAATTCACTATTATCACTCTCATATGTTCTTTTTGTACATTTTCACATCCTCTTAACACATGTTAAGTTGCCACTTAACTACCTTTATTCTCACTCAAAGCAATTTTTTAATTTTTCAGATCTGAAATTGAGCAATTTTAACTTTTTTCAAATTTCTAACCATTTCTTCCTTTGTGTGGTTTACTACGTAATTTCGAACTTTTATTTTTACTTCAGGAACCACTTCTGAGTAGTTATATTATTATGTCACCGCCCTATTACTCAGTAATACACTACTGTGCGTTTTCGGTAAATATAACTACCATTAATGTACAGCCTCTGAAGATGATTTCGTAGATAAAGAAATTTTCCTTCGTTGAACTGTCTTTTATTTTCCTCAAATATCTGAAATTTTCATAATGGTGTTTTTGGAAATCATCGATTTAGTGTGTATCTCCTTCACTACAGAAAATGATTATTTCAACAAAATTATTTGAATACTTTATCTTCCAGGGGAAAAAGCAAGTACGTCACAGTATCAATGTGATCATCATACTGAACGTAATCTGTTTTTCAAATTGGTTAATTCTCTGACGAGCGTGACTTTTGAATCGCCACCTCAGATGACACTTTGAATTTCCACGAAATAGTGTTGTTCATACCAGAGGAGACGACAAAAGTCACGTTCGCATTATATTATGCCTCACATGTAGTGAATTTTCAATTAGTATATCAGTGAAAGGAATGCTTACGTTGCTCTGACAGAAAATTCTGTTTTCTGCCTTCCGGTGGCAGCTAATGTTTGCACTATCAAATCACAACAAAAATCAAACGTCGTTCCCAGAACAATGAGTACCAGCGATATTTCTAGTAATGAGGACGATACTGGATTTACTGGTGCGTTCTACTGTTACTTCAAAGCACAACGGTGCATGCCTGACCACTGGACTACTGTTTCCGCACTGAGAGCACACGGAAATCTGTCTGAGAAAGCAAAGATTTATTATTCTTGAGGGAAAGTCTGCATGAATACAAATTATAGATAACCGCATAGTTATTTGAAACTGTGTTCTCACTGGATATTATGTACTAATTAAATTCAATGACATGAACTTTAATACAATTTCGTGTCAAATGTCTCACTTTTACTTTATGTTAACAATGAGTCATACAAAATATCCTTTAGTCCTAACAGTATAGAACTCACGTTTCGCTTTATAACGTCTTTTGAGGAATATTTGTCGAAGTGGAATAATGCAATCCATTAATCCATAGGACTTAAAATCATAAAACTTCATTGTTGTAACTGTTTCTTGGAATATTATTCATTTTAAGCATACCTACACTAATCTTCATGATGTTTAATCGTGATGTAAACTCAAACTTTACTTTCTTCTCCAGAGACAGGAAGTAAGTGATTCAGAATTTTGTACACACTGTGACGATAGACAGCTTTTTAAATCTATCTTAAACGTCGTCAAATTTGACACAAATACATGTTTATGGAGACAATCAGATAAGAAAAGTGTCATTCCTAGTTCCTCTTATGCATTATTATAATTTCAACAGTGAGATAAAGAGGTCGCCTGAGAATTACATAGTTTAGGTGCATTTTTCTAAAGAGTGAAATATAGAACCAGTGGCTGTTATTTCTGCCTAGGTGAACCACATATTTTAACTTCAAAGCCTATGAGGAAGATTAACTTGCAATAAATTCCATTGATTTTCATCTCGTTTTGTTAAGCTCTTTGTGCTGCCTAAAGGAAATAGCTAGTTTATCCCTGACAGCAGTCAGCTGTTAATCAGTAACGGACTTCTATGTAAATGTCCAGCAGTTTTGGCAGAAAATGTTGACTGATTGTTCTCATTCTAGGTTGTAACGTCAGAAAACACTTCATTTAATCAAATGGGATTTGTGGGATCTGGATGAATTCTAGTTCTTGGATGTTTTCACGAACCAGCACCATCTTGAGAGACCACTGAAGACCAGGAATCATTAGACAACTGTTTCCACATGATTTGGACTCTTCAATAGTGCATACCCATGGATCATGGGTGCTTTATAACGTTCCTACCTAATCGATTTCTCATCCTAGAATCATTCGTTCACTACTCCTGCATTGGAATTGGTTAAAAGTTTTAAACTAGATTCAGATACCTACCCTTAGTGGTTCTTGTAATTATTCTAGTTCCACAATAGAATCAACAATCATCTGTTTACAGATTCTTGGTGACATTTACAGCCTAACCTCTTGTGTGTTATTTACTTAACTCAGTTGTATCAGGTAAGTTAGAATAACCGTTTGAATTTGTTGATAACTTTAAACAAGTGTTAATGAAATATTTTTTGGAGATATGCGACTGTATATGTTCTCATAAACACGTTGGCATATGTTGAATTAGAAGAAGGCCGTTTCTTCCGGATGTGCAGTACTTTTCATTAAAAACCTATGATCTGAGTACATAGTAGATTTGCTAACTGCTTCACAACCACTGTGATGAATTCCCTAAACTAAGTTACATCTCAATAAATTTTCAGAAAACAATAAACGTTACTTTCTTTAACCTATAATGCTTACAGGTAATGTAATAATGGGAAATTTGTAAAATACCAAATATTAGAATTACTGTTTTGTAACGACTCGTCAAACAGTAGTGAGTGACACCTGGATAACTTTGTAAGATGGACGCTAAACGGAGTCATTCTCAAGCAGAAATAAAAATTTTCATAAAAAGTCCAGTAAACTTTCAGGTCTACAAGTAAAGGAAGCTGATAGCATAAATCCTGTCTTCTTAAAAAGATAACTGGAATAAAATATAACTTAAACGTTGAAAAATGACGCAGCTATTTAACATATTTCTATGAATTACGAAATGTTTTACAGTTCTGGACAGTTTGAGTGAGTTAAATGTTCTTAATTGAAAGCGCGTACATACTCATCATAAACTAAATAAGTAAATACACTAATCAAACAACTTTTGATAGTCTGCCAATTGAGCAGTGATTATCTAAGCAACTGTCATTTAAGACTAAATGATTTCCTCTTCTGCTGATGAAATTCTAATAGAAGTGTTCATTGAAATTACTACACCAGCTTACTTTACTTGCTGTTCATCTGCAATTTGACTGCAAATACCTTGCCATTTTTAATGAAGACTAGTTAGCTAAAGGTTACGTAGAACTGTAAAACTGGTTGTTTCTCACTCATCAGTGTAGTGATTTAATTCACATTTTAAGTTCTCTAATCTTCTATATCCTTTTCTCTTCACCAATCAGGCGATTTTCCCGGTGAGTGTTTTATGCAGTTCAACAAAACAAAGTAGATTGTCAATTTTGACTCTTTCTCACAAATTATCCTCTCCAGATGATTAGTACTAATTGTGTTTCACTCTTCTTAGATTTACTTGATGTGTATAGTAGTAGAGGAGATATTGACCTTACCACAATGTTATACTGTTTACGCATAGCACGCTCTCCTATTCAGTATCTGTGTACTAATATATAAAAATTCACTTTACAGCTGGACGAAGTAAGACATAATTCACCTTTAAAGATTTGTCGTACTAATAAATTAAGTCAAAATCATTTTCATAAATGAAATCAATTACATTGCAATGCCTTCGGTAATTCTCCGATCTTTAACACGTTTTTATAGTAGTGTCGATGATTTGTGAAGACCAATTCATGAAATACTTTTTCTGAATCTCATCTTCAGGCCCATCCATTGGTGAATTATGATTGCTTTCTAGGATTAAAAAGCCAATAAGCTAATGAAAATGATGAAACAGCACAGCAGTTTGGTCATCAAACTACATAACATTTAGAGAAAAACAATATTTTGCTAGCAAGCTACATGAAATGTGTAAAACATCTTGAAGAATCAATAAATGACCAGTCTTCTGACCTAATGCATCCATCCAATCAGCTATGCAGGCTACCTAAAACACATGAACCAAGTGTCTTCACGTCTGTTTCTAAGCTAAAGTGAGCTGAAGGCCTTGCGATTAAATATTACTTAAATAACAGCAACCTTACAACTAGATATTTTCATTTATAAACAACCAAACGTGTTTTGAACAATTCTATATTTGATTGCCACTGATAATCTGCAGCACACAGCCTAAAATTTCAATATTCATGGACTATTTAACATCTCTATATGTAAATCGATGACGTTAATAAGTAAGGTAGTAGTGCAACTGTATTCCTACGAAAATTAACAACTTCACAATACCAGTGACTATGTAATATATATATTTTCTTCTCAAACGAAAACTGAAACCATAATTATTGTGTAAAACATTTTAATTCTCTTTCATGACAGAACTCTTGGAAGTACGTTTATCTTACTATTAAAATTCATAATCTTTTTTCAACGGATACTGATCGAGTTACTTTCTTTAGAAATATACCAAGACTGAGAAGATTTCATAGTCTACCCAATGCAACTAGTAGAGTGTAAAAACACAGTGATAAAGATGCGAATTACAAGACTGCGTAGAATGATTGCATTCATTTGATTCCTCTAACTGCACGTGGCTTCGAAGAGGATGAGATTTACAATGAGAGCACAAACAGAACATACATACTGGCATCAGTTGCTTCCACAACACAGGGTCATACATTTAACATGGAATTCTGAGTCATGTTACAGCCTTTGAAAATGTGTTGTTAAACAATATACACAACAGTTGTGTGATACCTATTAGGTAAATCATGGTATTTCATAGAGCCACTTTCCGTCTGACACATAGGGCTTCTTGTTAGACCTTTGAAGTTTTGGTAGGAATTACTCTTTTTATTTTCACGGGTGCTAGTTTTATGCCCAACCTCCCTTCTTTACAGGCGATACTATCGGCCAGGCGAGGTCTAGGAGTGCGTTGGCCAGGGATAGAACCTCTGGTCACATAGGAATTTGTCCAGCACTCTATAGCTGAACTAGCGACGCACCAAAGTCATTATAAATAATGTTTATTGAAGTAAAGTATTACCAGCTTGTATAATCGACGTTCATTTGAATATTTGACTCATAAAGCGAATCAAGTAAGTTCCCATCCTTATGAAAAATTGTAGAAAATATAAAAATCTCGGAATTTTAAAAAGTGAAAGCATTCAGACACGTATCAAAAAATGCAATTTAGGCTGTATTACAACATAATCCAAAACATAAAATTACCAAACTGAATGTAAAATTCCTAAAAGATATGGATTTTTTATGTTGGAGGGCAGTTAATCTGGTTATGTGTTGTTGGATTTGCCTCAAATCTGACCACTAAGGTGCAAAGTGAAATTTTACACATCCATTTGAATTGCCTTTATAAAGCAACTTCGTCATATAGTTAGAAATAAAATACATTTCATCTACTAGTCCATAAGCCAAACTTATGGATTGATGTTTAGTTGCCCAAAATGAAGTGTTTAGTGATATTTGAACTCAGGCTGCTATAATTGACAGTCAAGTACTTAAAATTATGATAGTAATAATAATAATAATACACATCTCCACAATCTCGAAGCAAAATCGTGGTGTTTTTGAGTTATTTATAAAATTATAAAAGTTTTCTGTTATCAGTAGATGTCTGAAGTTCAAGTAATAAATGCACGAAAACATGATTGGTTTGCAAATCACTTATTCATCCTCATTTATTTCCCTCTGTAAAGCCCATTCGAGGCCTAATGAATGCCTCTGTTGCGAGAAGGTAAGTTTTCCATCAGTAAAATTTAACATTTCTGCTACATTATGCTACTTTGGCCAAGGCACATCTTTCAGAATACAAACTAGAATAAGGAATTTTAACATGTGATCTAGATTGGTATTAATTTCCTTGGATGTCGAAAAATTTCTTAAAATCATTTGTTTATTGGATATGCAACTATCATTGAACCCTTTGAATTATTAAAAAATCAAGAAATAGAACTAACTAAGGTATAGTTATACTTCTAGTAATCAGAAAAAATTTAATAGCAGACTAATCAGCACAGCTTGGAATCTCAGTCGCATCGCAAACAGTGTTTTGCATTAGACATCATGACCGTTACAAAACGCAGCAGTAATTTGACGTATGATACAAGCATATATATCTGAATTCTCGGTATTTTGATTAAAATGTCAAAGGCTTGATAAATGGGCTCTTTATATAAATGTTTGCATTGTTGTGGCATATAAACCGACCCAATCGACCCCATCAAGCAAAGTAATGTAATCTACTAAATAATATATGATGACTGCGAACTAGTAGGTCAGGATCATTCTGATTGTCAGGTTACCTAGACCAAGGATGGTGGGCCCTGCTAAGTTAAATAACCCAGAAAAAAGCTCGGCCGTTGCTGTGCATTCACTTGCATCTGATCACACAATGGAGTAGGTGGGACAGGGTGAAAATATTAAATAATAATATAGTTAGGTAGAGAGACAGGTGGGTTATTAACTGAATCTTTGTTTATCGATTCAAAACGGTTTAGGTGAAATCGAAATAACACAATAGATAAACTGCAGACATGGAAAGTGGCAACAAACAACAAGAGAGAAGGGGCGACAGAGAAAAATAAATGTATATAAAGCCAGTTATGAAACTATGTGAAAAGGTGGATATGATTATGACCAATAAATTGTGATCGAAAAGTTACCCAACCAATAATAATACTGTACCAGTCTGTATTAAATCAGATAAACTTATCTAATATGAAATTACATTCTATCACAGTACCCATGTACTTCACTCATATTATTGTCATGACAGTTGTTCATTCAACATTAGTCGGACATATATATATCGGCCGCGTGACAGATGAAAATAGTTCAGTGAGATGGTGACTGAAAAATCGTTAGAGCATTGAATTTGTCACGATCCGTTATGGGAAATTATTAAATTCACTGAAATGAGTAAAGACTAAATTCCTGTTGAGTAACACACGAGTTACATATAAAGTTAGGCGAAGCAAGTGGCCATTACCTTCATGAAGGTTATTTTTAAGTTTTTCGAGCAGTTCCATTAATTCAAATAACGAAACAGCTTTGGTTTCAATAAAATCAAATACAACTTATTATTTAGTGCATGAAAAACTCATTTCTCAGTAGATTTATTTATGTCAATTTTTTTCTCATTTTTAGGCAAATGCTGCCATACTAATAATTAAAAATAAAACTCAGGTTCTTTTTATATTTCAACTTTTTAAGTAATATTTTTTTAATTATAAATTAATAATAAAGTAATTTATTAAAATAACGACGACTTCTAAATTACATTAAAAATGAAACTTATTAGATTTCTTTTACTGAACTCTAAGCTCAACTGTGGCTTACATTAAACAGAAATATACTGCGATTTGACAAAGCGACTAATCCCAGTATATGGCCTTTCTTGCAGAAATGAGGGTTTACATTGGACAGTTAGTGATTACAGTAACAGTGTACGAAATGATGTTATCAGTGGTCGCGGTTTATTCTGCAGATAAATAAGCTAGGTGGAAACTCTAAGCCTTATTCCGACTAGATTTTCAATCACATAAAAAATTTAACCGTACTCAATATCACACAAACCGACTGAGGTAACAGAAGTAGAAAAAAGAATATTCTCTGCTCAAGTCTAACTCTGATATTCAGTAACCAATTGAAATCTGTTCATACTACTGACGAATCTTACGAGATAGTTCTACCAACGAAAACTCGATTCATTCCCGCCAGGAAAACTAACAACGAAGATAAACTTCGGCATTTTAGACCTTACTGCATAACAAGAAATGAAAGACATGGAGTTATTTGTGCAAGTAGTTGTGCAAGGTAGTGTCCTAGGTCCACTTTTATTTACAGTATACATTAACAGCATTTGCAACTGCTTCACCTCAGGTAAATCATTCCTATATGCTGACGACCTCAAAGTCGTTTACTCCTGCTACGCTCATGAACTAAGCGATATGGTAAATAAAATACATCTTAAACTAAGTGGTCTCGCAACATGGTGTACTGAATCCTGTCTGAAGTTCAACATTGATAAATGCGGCTGGATTTGTATTGGAAACAGTAACCTTGACCTGAATCTTGAAATAAATGGGCGTAAACTAGCCAAGCTCAACTCAGCCGTAGATCTCGGTTTAATATTAATAATGATTTACTTTATTCCAAAAACAGTACTTGTGATACAGAATGGAATTTCCAGCTTTAATCATAATATTGCATCTAATTTCCTCAAATTATAAATAAAATTAATCACATAGAAAATTTTTCTACATTTACAATAGGGTTAATATAAAAAAATAAAAGATAAATAACATGCAGCATATAAAATGGGAATAATAATAATGATAGCAGCTAAAGTAATGATAATAATACAAGTGGAAATTGCAGTGGGCTTGTTTCACACAGTATTGTCGATGCGGTATACAAATCCTTGCATGATTAAAAATATTGAAAATGATGTTCTCTTTACATGATATGGTGAGGGGAAAAACAAAGATTACAGCAGTCATAGAGATAAGTTGGTGTTTGCAGTTATGAAAGTGAAAACAAAGAATCAGCAGGACCATAAATATAATAGAAATAATAAGAGTAAAACTTGAAGGTAAATAAGGATGGATGGAGGAGATTGTTTATTTACTAGATGAAAAAAGGTTATTTTCTAAAGTTTGGTTTGTAAGGATTAGTTATGTTTTACGAGTTGATCACAGACTGATATCAGTCCCAGTGGGTGCGTACTGCCCGATGATTCCCAAACTAGGATGAAACAGCAGCTGTCCAGTACTCCCTGGTTTTCAATGGTTCTCTAACTGATATCAGTCCGTGATCAACTCGTGAAAAAAGGTTAGTCAATTCTTGCCTGACGCTATTTTCATCAAATAAAATACGTGTCAAGTATGGTATCATAGATTTTTTATACTTAGACGTGCGAGCATACAGTTTTCTGAAGTTACTTCTTGTTCTACCTGAGGAGATGCAAGGTGAAAGCTGAGGGTGAAGTGGATGCTCCAAGTCAGACAAAATCCCTTTAGCAAATTTACTGCACGAAGTGAAATGCCTATCGACAATGACGTTAACTATGTAGTCCACTGTGAGATCACTCATCCTACTGACAGTCTTCAGCATTCTACGAATTGTGACAAAGTCCTTTTTAAGCAAACCAGGAAAGAATAAGGGTGAACAATGAAGAAGAATAGGTAGGATGCAAGAGTTTATGAACTGTAAGAGGAGGGGTTGAGTTATGCTCGAGTGCCTTAACTTCTTAATGCAAAATGTCAGGCGGAATATTTTACTGGAGATCGCTGAGACATGGGAAGACCAGGAGAGATCAGAAGAGAGAATAAGTCCAAGATACTTAATTTCTGATTTAATTCCTATATCATTGTCATCAATCTTACAACTGTCATGAGAATCGACGGCTTCTTTTAACTGTCGTTTACATCTTAAGCTGAAATTAACAGTTTGACATTTAGAAGGATTCAGTTTAAGACCGTTAGACTCAGACCATTTACTGACTTCCGACAGAAAGCTATTTATTTTGGTACAATCTAGCTGGGAGTTAACAGTCATTGAAACAGTTAAATCATCAGCGTACTTCACAAAGTTTATTTCATCAGACTGAGGCAAGTCACGTAAGAAAAAGGAAAAAAGAAAAGGAGAAAGGACAGCGCCTTGAGGGACACCAGCTTCAGTAGGCAATGAAGTGGAAGACTTCCCTTTATACACGGTGTACTGCTTTCTTTCTGAGAAATAAGAATGTAACCAGTTAACAGCCCAACATTCTGTTTAACTTACAGCAAGTTTATTTAACAAGATGTCCCTAGGGACCGAGTCAAAAGCAGATGTATAGTCTAGGAAGGCACAACGAACAAATTTAGCCCCTTTGTCTAGACTGGAAGCAATGTTATGATATAAGACGGCGGCTGCATCTAAAGTGTTTCTACTGTGCTTATAGGCAAACTGTTTTGGGTCATTAAAGGATTTAAGAGAGGGTACAAGACTACGTAAAAGTAGTTTCTCCATAGTTTTCAAAAAAGGAGAGGTAATAGCAATGGGTCTAAATTTGACACATGCCCCAGTAAATGATTTAGGTATGGGTACAACTTTAATGTCTTTCCAAACAGCAGGCACAATATTACTGGAAAAAGATTTGTTAAACAGATCAGTGAGAGGGTAACATAGAATATCAGAACATTTTTTGAAAATAATACTAGGTACATGATCTGGACCTAAGCTCTGGGAAGGGTTCAGAGACTTGAGGCACTTTAGAACATCATTTGTGTTAAAACCTGGAAAGGGGCTATTATTAACACTAGTGATACAGGGAAGCATGGAATTTGAGGGAGAATAAATAAAATATTTATTAAGAGTACATACATCAGAAGAATACGGAATATTGTTAATCTGCTTACCACCAGTGATTTCTTTAAATAGTTTCCACGTACTTGAAGCATTTTTGCAGGATATGATTTTCTGGTTATATATAACATTCAATCTCTGCATTTCAGACTTGATAAGGGAGTTAGTTCTTTTTACGCCACTTTTATCTTTCATTTTATAAAGCTTTCCCTTCTCTCTACGAAGCTTTTTAAGTTGAGGGGTGGAGAAATGGTCGAATTTGACAAATAATGTTTCTTTTGGGCAGCAGATTTCAAAACAGAATTTCAGACAAGACGTAATATTAGAGATTGTGTCATCAAGTGAAACATCATTAAACAGATCCCATCTTGTGTCACTGAGCATTTTTCTAAGAGGTACATTCTCATTTGAGTATCATCTGTGAACAACTTTCTTGGACAAGTTAGAGAAGGCTATTTTGTGTAACTTTCCGTAAACTTTGAGTAGAACTCGTACAATACAGTGATCAGAGTTTGAGAGTGGAGCTCTTTTACGAGGTTCGTATATTCCGGAATCATTTATGAATACTAAATAAGCTAGGTGGAAACTCTAAGCCTTATTCCGACTAGATTTTCAATCACATAAAAAATTTAACCGTACTCAATATCACACAAACCGACTGAGGTAACAGAAGTAGAAAAAAGAATATTCTCTGCTCAAGTCTAACTCTGATATTCAGTAACCAATTGAAATCTGTTCATACTACTGACGAATCTTACGAGATAGTTCTACCAACGAAAACTCGATTCATTCCCGCCAGGAAAACTAACAATTTAGACCTTACTAAATAACAAGAAATACAAGACATGGAGTTATTTGAAAATACCGTGCAAGGTAAACCCAAGTAAGCTAATCGAGTAAAAACAGGTTTCACCGAATTTGAGGGAGTTTTCCTAGGAAAACTTTTAATTCGAGCTTGATCACCATTTGAAGCTTCAAACTACAGTTGGCAAGAACAGTTTCCTTTCACGATAACTTTATTAACATAGTAGCGATGGCCTACAAAAATAGCATAAAACAGTGTTGTCTCGCTCCTACTGTTTAGCAAAGTTTATCTAGACCGGTCAAAACTACTGGCATGATAATGTTGATTTATTTTTGTGCTGATTTACTGTACGATTGGTCTGACCATAAGTGACCATAAAAGTGACAATTCATCATTTGACTTTTATGTTACCTATAAAAATATGTCTACTTAAACCTAATGAGAACACTTTATAATCATTGAAATATTTTACATGGAGAAAGATTGATTTACAACAAGTTACAAATTATTAAACACCTGTGCATACTTATTAAACTTCAATCGGACTTCTCCAATATTAGTTAAGATCATACAAAACAACAGACGTTTTAGGGATTTCTAAATATCGTTTCATCAATTATTGGGGACTATGACTACTGAAATATAACTCCAGATATTCTGTCAACAGAAGCTATATGGCGGTTGAATTGAATGAATGTAAAGAGCCTAGATATATTGTGTCCCTCATTAGGATTTCGCTGATTTAGATTGCTGGCTGACAAAATTCCAGTTTTCAAAACAGAAGCAAACATACGTAGAAGGCATAGACAGTTCCAACATTTCATTCGATAAACTGGTCCCCTATTCTTCACGTAAGTAACCAAATTTGAAAAATCAAAGTCATTTAAAAATGGGAGGTCACATTTCGCATTTAGATTTGGTCGTACAGCAAGGTCCTGCTGATGTAAAGTTCTGAAAAAGAAATTGAATTATCAATAATGATGTACTTTGGCCTATATTAATGGCATTGTGTT